GAAAATAAATGTCCATGGGATGAAAATACAACAAGAGTTGCTGCTGCAAATGGGCATATAGAATGTTTAATATATGCACATGAAAATAATTGTCCATGGGATGAAAATACAACAAGAGTTGCTGCTGCAAATGGGCATATAGAATGTTTAAAATATGCTCATGAAAATGGCTGTCCATGGCATACAGACACAACAAATTACGCTGTTTCATATGGACACTTAGAATGCTTAAAATATGCTTATGAAAATGGCTGCCCATGGCATTCAGACACAACAATGTACGCTGCTGCAAATGGACATTTAGAATGTTTAAAGTATGCTCATGAAAATGACTGTCCATGGCATACCGACACAACCGCTGACGCTGCTGCAAATGGTCATTTAGATTGCCTAAAATACGCTCATGAAAATGGATGTCCATGGGATGTTACAACAACAAAGGCTGCTTATGACAATGATCATTTTGAATGTTTGAAATATGCTCATAAAAATGGATGCGAATGGGATACATCAATAATGAAGAATGCTGCTAAATATAACAAATTGCAATATTTAAAATATGGACACGAAAATGGATGTAGTTTTTATGAAGATACAACAAGAGTTGCTGCTGCAAATGGGTATTTAGAATGTTTAAAATATGCTCATGAAAATGGATGTCCATGGCATACCGACACAACCGCAGACGCTGCTGCCAATGGTCATTTAGAATGCTTAAAATATGCTCATCAAAATGGATGTCCATGGGATGACAAAACAACGAGAGCTGCTGCTGAAAATGGGCATTTAGAATGTTTAAAATATGCTCGTGAAAATGGATGCGAATGGGATGAATTTACACCAAGAAGAGCTACTTTTAAGAATTCTATGGAATGCTTAAAATATGCGCATGAAAATGGATGTCCATGGGATGAAAATACAACAAGAGTTGCTGCTGCAAATGGGCATATAGAATGTTTAATATATGCACATGAAAATAATTGTCCATGGGATGAAACGACAACATATGCAGCTGTATATTGGAATAATATGGAATGCTTAATTTATGCTAATGTAAATGGATGTAAATGGGATGATGAAACGACAAAGATTGCTGCCGAAAAGGGACATTTAGAATGCTTAAAATATGCACTCGACAGTGGATGTCCATGCCATTACGATACAACAAGGGCTGCTGCTGAAAATGGGCATTTAGAATGTTTAAAATATGCTCATGAAAATGGCTGTCCATGGCATACAGACACAACAAATTACGCTGTTTCATATGGACACTTAGAATGCTTAAAATATGCTTATGAAAATGGCTGCCCATGGCATTCAGATACAACAATGTACGCTGCTGCAAATGAACATTTAGAATGCTTAAAATATGCTCATGAAAATGGCTGTCCATGGCATATAGACACAACAATGTACGCTGCTTCATATGGACATTTAGAAATCTTAAAATATGCTCATGAAAATGGCTGTCCATGGCACAAAGATACAACTAGAATTACTGCTTCAAAGGGGCATTTAGAATGCTTAAAATATGCTCACGAAAATGGGTGTCTTTGGAGTGAAGGCACAATATTAGTTTCTGCTATAAATAATTATTCAGATTGTTTAATATATGCCCATAAAAATGGATGTCAATGGGATGAAGGAACGACAATTGAAGCAGCTAATAAAGGTAATTTAGATATTTTAATATATGCTTATGAAAATGGATGTGTATGGGATGATGGTACACTTAGAGCTGCTGCAGGAGGAGGTGATTATAATTGTTTAAAATATGCTTACGAAAAGGGTTGTAGTTGGGATAAGTTTACGGCGAGAGCTGCTGCAGCAAGTGGCAGTTTAGACTGCCTAAAGTATGCTCATGAAAATGGATGCCCATGGGATAAAACAACAACAGAAGCGGCTGCTGAGTATGGGCATTTAAATTGTTTAAAATATGCTCATGAAAATGAATGTCCATGGGATAATAATACAACAGAAGAAGCAGCTAAAAATGGACGTTTAGAATGTTTAAAATATGCACATGAAAATGGATGTCCATGGAATAAATATACAACATATTATGCTGCTTCATCGGGATATATAAGTTGTTTGAAATATGCTCACGAAAATAGATGTGATTGGACTGAAGATGTAACAATGTTGGCTGCTTCAAGTGGACACATTGAATGTTTAAAATATGCGCATGAAAATGGATGTCCATGGGATGACCGCACAATTAGTGCTGCTGCTTCACAAGGTAATTTTATATGCTTGAAGTATGCCCATGAAAATGGATGTCCTTGGTTTGAAGATACAACAAATATTTTTGCTGCGAAAGGACAATTAGAATATTTAAAATATGTACATGAAAATGGATGCCCATGGAATGTTGAGACAACTAGATCTGCAGCTTTAGAGGGTAATTTAGAATGTTTAAAATATGCTCACGAAAATGAATGTCCGTGGGATGAAAANGCCCACGAAAATGGATGTCCGTGGGATGAAAGAACATCAATATCTGCTGCTGCAAATGGACATTTAGAATGTTTAGAATATGCACATAAAAATGGATGTCCATGGGATGTAAACACAACTAAAGCAGCAGCACAAAATTGTAGTTTGGAATGTTTAAAATATGCACACGAAAATAGATGTCCATGGGATGAAAGCACAACTAGAGCTGCTGCAGAAAGAGGATGTTACAAATGTTTATTTTATGCCTTCGAAAATGGATGTGTTTGGGATAAACGTACAACTAGAGTTGCTGCTGCAAGTGGCTGTTTAGATTGCTTAAGATATGCTCATGAAAAAGGGTGTAATTGGGATGAATTTACAATAGTTACAGCTGCCATGTTTGGTAATTTAGATTGTTTAAAATATGCCCATGAACATGGTTGTGAGTGGGTTAAAGGAACAACGAGAGTGGCTGCTGCAAATGGACATTCAGACTGTCTAAAGTATGCATGTGAAAATGGTTGTGAATGGGACGAAGGCACAACAAGAGAAGCTGCTGCTAGTGGTTGCATTAACTGCTTGATATTTGCACATGAAAATGGTTATAATTGGGATGAAGGGACAAAAAGTGGAGCTGCTGCAAATGGTAATTTCAACTGCTTAAAATATGCTCATGAAAATGGATGTGAGTGGGACGAAGGCACAACTAGGCTTTGTGCTATATATGGTCAATATTATTGCTTAAAATATGCCCATGAAAATAATTGCCCATGGAGTAAATATACCATTGAAGAAGCTATTCGAAATGACTATGATTATATATTAAANACATACACGTGTATTAGTATTAAATATTTGTTTACAAATAGGTATGTAGACGATTCCGTGGAAGACAGCGGATAATCCGCAACGCGGATAATCCGCTCGCGGATAATCGGGAGTTTACTGTATTTATATTTTACATGTGTATGTTTTTACTTGTGTATTCGTTTCAGTGGGCTATATTATATATTAAATAAATTATCTTAATCATTAATGATATAATTTTTTTGACATATCAGTTACTTCATATGTTTTTTTAATATTTACCTTAAGGCTATATAACATATTAACTTTTTTTCTATTAATTTTTTTAATTATGTTACAAACAATCTACTCTCTTGACATATACATGAAATAAATGTTCTCCTAGCTATATTTTATAAAAAAGAGTTATTAATTTATATAAAATATTTATATATTTCTTTATTAAAGAATTATAAATATTTTGTAGGACTAGAATACAATTAAAATTCAGTATATTAAAGATAATTTTTATTTAAATTAATTTTACCCATACGATCAAATAGCATGGTGATTTGGCCTATTAGCTTTCTCAATCAATTTTAGTTTAATTAATTTATACATGTATTGTAATAATCATTTTAAAATATTGTAGTGAAAAATAAATTAATCTTTTGTATTATTGTATTAATAATTTTTGCAGTAATAATAATTTGTGATTCAATAAGTTGATATTGTGAGTTTACAATGTAATTAGTGTGGTATATGTGTTTAAGTTAATCATAATAATGTTTTGGATTCGACAATTATAGTTAAAACACCACAGTGGTAGGAATAAATGTATGTATATAATGTTATTCATTATATTTTATTTTTATAGATATAAAAAAAAAGGTTAAGTATACTATTCGGATTTATGCAACAAAGTTTTTTTTTACTATGGAGCTTAAGGATCCTCAAGTTCAAAACACTATAGGCACGTATGATTTTTAAATCATAGGCGTATTTTCTTTTTAAATATTATTATAAAATATTTTTATAACTTTATTATAACATTTAATATAATATTAATTTTATAAGAATGTTTCCATAACATTATTTTTAAAGAAAGTTATCATGATTGATGTTTTAGTTCGGCTGTCAGTTAAAAAATGATAATAATTTAAAAAAAAAATATTTCAAATAATCATTTTTAAAATTGCGTAAATTTATGTTTTTAAATTTTAAAAAATATTTATTATCGTGAAACTATTTTTCCAATTTTGAACTAAAACAATAGACTCAACTTAATTAAAATTTTGGTTCTATTGACATATAGTCCAACAAAATCAGTCCAGTGAGAGTAATTATATATTGTATATATAATATTATATTGTATATATTATATATATAGTTATATACTGGGTATCCCCCAAAGTCACATAATGTGGGTTTGCTGCTCTAGTTGTGAAAAGTAGGCCGCCTTGGCGTAATGCTTAACGAGAGTTCCAGGGCGGCTTGCAATATATTTGACGCATTAAATGAGCATTTTTCACATGAAAGGATAATCATTGCTTTTATAAAATTAATAGCAATGTGTCATTTAGACGGTTCAACAATTTTTTTCTTGTGATATTTATGAAAAAAGTGTAAGCTGTTAAAAGCTACCTGGTGAGGCATAGAAAAATCTATGATGGTATACAATTTATATGTTATTTATGTCCTACTTTTTTGGACAAATGTAGATTTGTATGCCACGTTCAAAAGATACACCGTGATTATTACAATAATTATTTTTGCTAATTAAATATTTAAATAGTAAAATGAATATTATAAAAAAATATATAATAGTAGAGTGTTAATTGTTGTAGATCCTTTCACTCTTAATTTATAATAACTAATTTAATAAATTAAATACACAAGTTATTAGATGAATAACATTTTAATATAAAAGCACACGACACAAACCGGTCTCATCGAATGCCGGTCAGCAACTGATAACGACGATATTATTATAGAGAGTGTACACCACATTAATAGAAGAGTATTATTATACATGAGTGGTCAAAATTATAAAACACCCCAAATTTTATATTTCACGCGTTTAGATTTATTGCATTTTAGCGGCAAAACAATTGCTGTTATCTTTTTCACCACTCGTGCGTCTCACTCATTTTGGTCGATTAGAGAAGAGTTGAAACGAAGATTCATCACTGAATAGTACCAAATTCCTATTTTTCATAAATCCATAAAAGTTTACTTTTGCACTATTCAAACCGAGTTTTCCGATTTTTGGCCGTCAAAAGGGGCTTGCGAGCCGCGACGGCATATTTTAGGTTCTTTTTAAGTAAACGCCCATTTACTGTTTCTCGAGAAACTTGCACATTTAATTCTTGATTCAGTTAATTTTTTTATACTACTCGCAATCACAGAATGATCTTGTTTTGCTTTCTGAATAACAATTCTATCAGTCCGAGTACTTGTTGCTCACGGTTTACCAGCTCCACTTTGAGTTTTCACTGTGTTTGTATTTTTATAATTAGAAATAGTTTTCGAACACATGATCTACTCACTTTTGATATTCTGGATATTTGAGATAAATTTTTTTTTGCTTTAAGTAAGTCAACTATTTGCCACTTTATAGATTCTGGTACAGGTTTTCTACTCATTATTGCTAATACAAATGGATACTATTGCAAAGAATAGTTATTCCTCGACATAGTTTTGGTATTTATTACAAAAGGTTAATAAAGAAGTGAGTTTAACTCTTTTAAAACAAAAGATTTTAAATAATTACCAGTATTTTTAATTTCTAATAAAATATAATGTTATTTTATATTTTTAATTTTATATATTTAATTTTATAAGTTTCTAAATAACAAAATATATGCTTTCACGAGAATTTTACCTTTTTTTTTCTTCCACACTCGGCTTTATTGTGGGCCACTCTGGAACTATTGTTAGGCATACTTCAGAGCGGCCCACGCCATCTTTAAATCACTCCACCGCGTTGTGTATCAGCCCGAAGTTAATCAAATGTTGATTCACAATGTGGTGTGGCCTCTCTCGTTAGCCGGATTCCAGAGTTGGATCCGTTGCCCAGGTTGCACCTCGTGGAGATAGGGACAGGACTCCGCGAGGGTTGGCAATAATTCACAACACAATACATATAAACAAAAAAACACAACACAACATAAAATACCTACGGACCTGGGTCGTAGGGGCAGTCTCTGCCTCAGGCATTCAGCCTCCTCCATACGGATCATGACCGATTCGGCCAACGCCTGGACCAGAGACTACCCCTCTTGGCTTCTCAGCATTAGGTCCACCATAGACCCCACGTCGAACACAGACCCCGTGCGGAACTCCAACTCTTCCCGCTCGCTGGTTCACGCCTTGTGCCGGAAGAGCGTATGCAGTGCATTGTCCGCTTCTCCCGGGCGATCCCAACAGTGGCCGCACATCGGTGCGGCTGCCTTACGAATACCGTAAAGGTATTCGGACATCACTTGGGTTAGACGATATGTCATTTCCCTGCGAGTCCGGGCAAAAATACCTCATTTTACATTGCTTAAAAATTCTCATTATACTCCTGTGGTTTGAATATTTTTAACTGGATCGACTTGAAAATTTTTTCATCAAAATTAATTATCTAAATAAAATTGGATAATGTTCAAATAAAATTACGCAGTTGGATGTTAGTAAAAAAATTTTAAATGGCCTTTAAAATGATTTAATGACTGATATTTGCTATATTTGCAAAAATAACTTTTTTAACGAAAGTGTAAGTAAAAATTAAGTTGCAAATGGAACTAATGCAAAATAAGCGTTTTTATTTTAAGTTTATGAACATATTATATAAAGAAAAAAGTTTCTTGCATTTACTTGATAATGTAGACATAGACGATTGGGTACAAGCCCAAATTTGAACTCGTGAAATATAAAATATGGGGGTATCAAAATAAAAATAGAATATTTTCAAAAATATTTCGGCATTGGTTTTGAAAATTTTAAATTGAAAGAATAGTAAAAATTTTCTTATTTTACTCATTTCCTTGAAATTAATAGTTTAATTAATGAGTTTTTAGTAGTACTATGAACAAAATAAAATTTTTTCATATTGAATACTAAGTCCCAGTATATGAGTTTGATTTCTCAGTTTTCTAAAGTTAAAATTTGTATTTATTTACAGCATTATGATTGAATAATAATATAAAAAAAAACAGTATTTATAAGTTTCTTTTCAGGAATTTTGTCACAAATGGTTGCACTGTAATAATTTTACTCGTGTTATCAGTTTATTTTCACATCATCTTTACACAAAATCTCGCCATGAATTAAGATAAGATATCATCATTGTTCCTTGAAAACCTATGAAGTATTATTCTTAAATCGCCCGTAATCTATATAATTGAGAGAAGCTTATTTGATCTCTAATGCAATCAATTCCCCTACGTTTTCATAAAATAATTAGTTAAATATTTTTTATTTATGCGTTGACGGTGTTAATTTGACAATAAATTGTTTTTAACAGTTTTCTAACAGTATTCATATATTTAGTTAAACAACTTTCTTAAGCAAATATACATTACAACTTAATTGTTTGTTGTAACTTTTATATTTTTTAAAATTACCATATTATTTTTAATTTTTATAAGATAACATTATGGTAAAATTATTTGCTATGAGTGTTCTCTATAAAGGACCAAATGATGCTACTCTCCTCAAAGCAGCTTATGATCTACAATCATTTGGTTTTTTCCAACGTAAAAGTGCTCAAGAATTTATGGGTTTTGTCACTAAAACAATTGTAGAACGTACGGCCAGTGCTGCTAGACAATCTGTCAAAGAAAGAGGTGCTTATACATATTCCTTCTAAATAATATTTGTATACATTATAATTTATTTTATGATATTAATCAACTGAAAATATTATAATATATTTTTAAAGAATACATGTGTCACGTTTATGTAAGAGCAGACAATTTAGCTGGAGTTTTAATAGCTGATGATGAGTATCCTAATCGTGTTGCACATACTCTTCTTACCAAGGTAATGAAACAAGATTTATTATTTCATATATTATTTTAAATTTTAAATTATTAATTATTAATTTTACTTAATAAATTAAATTTATACATAAAAATATAAAGCAGTATATTATATTAATGCCAAATTTTTATTTATTTTAATCAGAGAACCAAAATAATTTTGACAATTAATAGTTTATTATTAGTTTTTGTTCTTTGTAAATTGGTTCATCTATGTCAAATTTTTTTTTTTTTTGTAAATGTTGAAAAAAAATCATTACAGATCAAAACTATTAAGATATCACTTATGAAGTCTTTATTAAACTAAATTTGAATTTTAGTTTAGGTTTAAAAAATTATTTCATAATATTTACAGTTCTACAATTATTAACCTCACAAATTCTTGAAAAATTTAATATAAGTCAACTAATCTATTAAATATAATAAAAAATTTTGAAAAATCAAAATAATTTCAATTCTATGTCCTGATTTTAGTTGAATAATATAATTTTTTTTCTTCAGGCTTTAGATGAATTTTCTTCTAAGGTTCCATCACATAGTTGGTCAAAGCTAAATGAAACACAAGTAACATTCAATGAATTAAATGTTATGCTCTCAAAGTATCAAAATCCTAAAGAAGCGGATGCTATGACTAAAATTCAACAAGATTTGGATGAAACAAAAATTATATTGGTATGTATGAGTTTGTTTCCATTAATGGTGTATCTTCTGATATTTCCATAATTCCTTCTGGCGTCCCACAGGGTGGCCATCTCAGCCCTCTCTTATTTGCCCTCTTTGTTAACTCCCTTCCTGATTTTCTTTCATACTCTAAAGTTCTCTTGTTCGCCGACGACATTAAACTTTTTTTAAACATTAAACATCCTTCAGACTGTTCACTCCTTCAATTAGACCTTGACACCTTCTGTAATTGGGCCAAGGAGCTCAACCTTTCTCTCAATACCAGCAAATGTCATGTAATGTCATTTTCACGAAAACACTCTCTTATAAACCACTCCTATTCCCTAAACGACTCAATTATTAACCGCGTATCCGTTATAAAAGACCTTGGCATTCACTACTCCACTTCCCTTTCCTTTGATATCCACATAAACTACATTATCGGTAGAGCACTAAAAGTCCTAGGCTTCATTATAAGAAATACATCAAACTTCTCCTCAACCTCTTGTCTCCGTACCCTTTATGTATCCCTCGTTCGCTCCATATTAGAATATGGAGTTGTAGTGTGGCATCCTTATTTAAATAAAGATATTCTTAGGATCGAAAGAGTCCAGAATAAATTCCTATCCTATGCTGCTTTTCTTTTAAAAATAATCCATCCTCCTCACGATTACTCCCTCCTTCGCTCTTCTCTCCAACTTCCTTCTTTAGCCTCTCGCAGAGACGATGTTGACTTTTCCTTTATAAAATCCCTCCTAAATGGCTCTATTGATTCTCCTGATCTTCTATCTAAAATATCTTTCCTTGTTCCTTCTCACAATACAAGAAATCATTTCCTCTTCCAGCTCCCTCACCATACTACATCATATGGTCAAAACAGCCCTCTTGATCGAATGCTAAAACTAGTTAATGAGTTTAGTCCAGACCATCTTTTTGATTAGGTAATTTGTTTGATGTTTTTTTTTTTTTATTTGTAATAATATTCTTATTTCTATTGTTATGTTCCATTTAATTTATTGTATCTTATTTGATTCAATTGTACTGTAAATTATGTTTAATTGTAAATATTTAATTTTTATGTTCTATTTGAAATACTGCCTGTTTAGGCGTTAATAAATAAAATAAATAAATAAATAAATAAATAAATACTTTTAATATGTTAAATTGAACATATTTTTTCAAAAGTTTTTTACTAATTTACTTAAATAACATTAATTAATAGCAACTTTTCACAATGTGAATTTTTAATAATCACATGAATCTCAAATTATTATAAAAATATTGTAATTAAAGTAAAGAATAATGTCATTTGTATAAATTCACTTATAATAAGTGATGTTAGGTTTTTATTTAGTTTTATTTTTATTTTATAGCACAACACCATTGAAGCTGTATTAGAACGTGGTGAAAAACTTGATGATTTAGTTGCCAAGTCTGAAGGTCTTAGTATTCAATCAAAAGCATTTTATAAAACAGCAAAAAAAACTAATTCATGTTGTCGAATGTAAAGTCCATTGATATAGATGTTAATGAATTAAAATATTTTTTGATATTAAAAATTTGTTTTATTACGCAGCCAATAAAACATTCAACCCAATTCTGACTACTAAAAGAATATTAATTCTTTAAACATTACTCATAATCTTATCATTACATTCCCTGACAATTATTCCTCTATATTAAATTGTAAATTTGGAATAAAATGTGTCTTATTAAAGATTTAAGGAAGATAAATTCATAACTTTTTTCCAAGTGTGAAAATAATTTTAGCCAAGTATTAAAAGTTTGAATTTATGTATTTGTATGTGTAGTTATTAAATATGTTAATATATATTGTACAATATATACTACATTTATTTATATGTCTATTATATTTAAGCTACTGTAAAAATAAAATTATCTGAAGACTTATAATTTATTGTACTGTTTTAAATGAAAATATGAAATTCAAATTTTACCAAAATCAATTTATAAACAAAGATTTAAACAAGATATATGCTATTTTAATATTTATTTCAAGTCATTTATGTCAATCATTTAATTCAGTTCACTGTTACTGAAAAATGTTTAATAAAGATAGTTCCTAGTCAAGAAGTATATTATATAAATATTAAAAAAAAAAATATAAGACAAAAATTATATTATTTATTTACATTATATTTTTTCTATTTATAATCAAAATAAAATTATATGTATTGCGGTTTAGTACGCTGTGTTTGAAGGTGTTTTATCAGTAATAAAAATGTTTTCAAAACTAAATTTAAAACCATTTAGTTAAAATGTGTATTTTATTTATTTATTTAGTTATTACATTAAAATTATATTTTTTTGTATTTATTAATTACTCTGTACATCATTAACTCTTCTGCTGATAAATCTACTATTAAATAAATTTTGAAAATAAAGACAATAGTTCTCTTCAAATATAGGTTTTTAAATTTTGTAATTATATTGTATTATTTTTGTGAAACTAATTAATTAAAATGAAGTTAACTGTATTCTATTGTAGGCTTAAATGAAATATTAAATTACTCCTATTTATTCACTGCATTTTATGTAAAATTTTTCATAAATTGATAAATGATGATTTTTTTTATTTATCAGGTGTTTTTTGTTTTATACAAGCTATTATTTTATATATTTTATATTATTATTATAAATATTTCTTTTTTATTTAAAAAAAAACATAAATTCTTTTAATAAAATTTGGTGTTGATATTATATGTATTAAAATAATTGTTAACAATTATTGTTTTACTATTTAAAAAATACATTTATATTTTACATATAAATTTATTATTTGTCTATAATTTTAATGAATATTTGTTATTGTTTTATGTATTTTGTGAAATAAGTTGTTATAATATTGATTTAAAGTAATTGCAATTAGATGCATTTGTATTGTAATATTAAAAATTTTTCTTTGTGTTATTTAATGTGTTAAATCAATAAAAAAACAATTCATTAATTATTTATATATTATGTATATTTATAAGTATTACAGAATATTAAGTATATAATATAATGAATATATAATAGAGCTTCTGACTTCTTTCTTAAGGTATTTATGTTAAATATGACATAATATAAATATTTCTGTAGTAAATAATGTAGTGAACCTAATGGCTCAATTATTTACTCATTATTAATGAGTTAACAAATTTAATTAATTCAAGTTTTTGAGAATTTTCAACTCAGACAATATTTTCTTAATTAAATTTCAAAATTGAAATATAAGATTAATTTGAATAACTCTATCTAATTCAAAAAACAAATTGACTTTTTACTTTTTTTTTAGGTGATATTTTTAGTAATAATGTTAATACATTTAAATCAAACATCTTCCAAATAGTAAATCCTGGTTGCGCCTCATTGTTTAGTTATTTTATTATTCATTGAGTATGATTGAATTAAATATTTAAATATTAGATTGAAAGTATTTATAAATTATTTTTTTAATTGTCTCCGCATAAGGATGTTTTTACCTCGAATAGGATGTTTCTTATAAAATTTCTCTATTATTATATAAATCAAAGAAACTCATATCAATTATTATTTAAATAAAATAAATTGAGCATGTTTTATAGAAATCTATATTCAATTGCTTACTTTTGTTATAATAATTAATGTTGTATTGTTAACAGTACAATAGTAACAATATTATTACAGTCTATAGTTGTAATAATTGTCAAACCTATGCATAAACTAATTCCGGTTTTTTGTTTTTACTATAGACTATATAACTAGTGTTATTAACAATGTTTGGAAAATTCCTTTTAAATATAATGTACTCCAAATCTCATTCCGGATTAAAAAAAAAATGCACAGTGAGGTCGTGGCAGAGTGGGGACGTGGCATAGTTGGGTCAAGTATAATAATATCTAACAGTGACTAAAATCACTATCATAAAAAACACTTCGATGCAAAACTGTAGATAGAGTTTAATTTTAAAAAATTGGTGGATTTTTCTAAAATCTACATGATCTCCTATTTCCTTATTTATATTCCGATTACAAGTTGTATGATTTATAAGTGTGATATATGAATATATATATATTCTTCTTCTTATGTGCCTTCACAACTCTGCAAGAGTTTTAGCTGCTACAATATATATATATTTATAATATATTAAGGGAAAGGAGACGATTAAAAAAAAAAGTATGTTTCATAAAAGAAGAATGTAAATAGTACTTATCTTAAAAAAATATAATGATCCATACATTTTTCAAATAGTTATAGCATTATAAAGTTAAAAATGTAATATATAAAATCGAGAATTTTAACACAAAAATAGTTACGGTAGTCATTTTCACTGTTAAGACAAAGTAAAGTCCGAATTTTTTTTTTTTTACATAATAAAGTATATTATATAAGTATTTTCGGAACACTTTCAAAAGTTAATTTTTTGTGAAAAATTTGTCATTTTGAATCCCTCCCTATGGGAAAAACGAAAAAAAAAAATAAAAAAAAAAAATCATAGTAAAATTAATACCTTCTCAGTTTCGCCTCCAAGCAAAATACGATTTTTATAAAAAATTATATTTTTAATTTTATAATGCTATAACTATTTGAAAAATATATGGATGATTATAATTTTTTTAAGATAAGTACTATTTATATTCTTTTTTTATGAAACATACTTTTTTTTTTAATCGTCTCCTTTCCCTTAATATATTATAAATATATATATATTGTAGCAGCTAAAACTCTTGCAGAGTTGTGAAGGCACATAAGAAGAAGAATATATATATATTCATATATCACACTTATAAATCATACAACTTGTAATCGGAATATAAATAAGGAAATAGGAGATCATGTAGATTTTAGAAAAATCCACCAATTTTTTAAAATTAAACACTATCTACAGTTTTGCATCGAAGTGTTTTTTATGATAGTGATTTTAGTCACTGTTAGATATTATTATACTTGACCCAACTATGCCACGTCCCCACTCTGCCATAAAATAATCATTGATTATTTTATTATCTAGTGAAAATCTATTTGTCTTTATAGTGCTGTTCTTCGTCAATATAGTAATGATTAATTACTTTCCTGACCATCTATTAACCAACTAATCAACTATTAACTGAATATTAGTAAAGCTATTGATTTATATTCTTATAAAGATACCCAAATCTAGAAATTTAACTGTAAACTTATAATGCTTTGGCTGTGAAATTATTTTTATGAATATTACTAGTGCAAGGGTATATTTATGGGGGAAATTTTTTCCGGATCAGTGCTATCAATATTTACAAAATATGGCTCTAAAAAAGAAAAAAGATAAAAAAAGATCACTTTACTTTTAATAAAAAATTTTTCTCTATAATGCCTAAAATAAAAAAATTAAATCGCAACCCCCGCCACCAAATGTCTTAAACACGCCATTGTACTAGTGAATCAGTAAAAATATGTTTGATTTTACATTAAAATATCTAAATTAGTTGAAAAAAAATATTAAAATGTGAATAAAAATTTGACCTGTTAAACATTTTTTTTGATAATAGAATGTATGTTACATAAAATAGAAGTTGTACGGTAGAATATACGATTTTTTTATGAATAAGTTTACTAGGTATTGTTATACAACTAATTATTATTATATTATTACAAAAAAGAGGTATTGAAAACCTGACAATTTAACCATCTAATATACCAAAAACTCTTAGCTATAACTTGTAATTAGAACGTAAATAGCTCATTATTATGAGTCTGGTAGTGTCATTGTAACGGATATTATAGTACTCAGTTATCGGACTTGTATTAATAAGAAGATGCGACAGTATTACGAAATTCTGGCCGAGATCCAAGAGATGATTTCCGAACAATCTTACACAGTAAACAATGTCGTGATCCCGAGCAGCAATATCATTAAATAATATTAATATTAATAAACTTTATCAATAGCAGAATTCCCGCTTGCCATTGCGTTTATTGCCGGTCCAGCGTGTGTGTGTGTACTAAGTTAGGATAACCAGGACGGACGCGTTTTCCTGTGATATACAACAGCTGTCCATATACTTAACGTTACAGCCGCCGCTGCCCTCCGAGTGTGTAATAATAAAATATAAGAAGAACGTGCGGATCGCGGGGCAACAGACTCGCGCCGACTCCGCACCAGTAACATTAGCCAGTGCATACTCCGTCAGTCTGCCTCCGACTAATCAGTCCACGCTGTTTATTATTATCATAATAAAACGAACTCGCTTATGACAACAACTAATATTGTTTTTTTAACACACAATTGTAATGGATCTTCTCATAATATTTCGTCAGTCGGCTGCCTACACGTACACCGGTTAATTACAATATTTATCCCTCGTGTACACTCGCAAATAGTTTGCAGAGTTTCGCCGGTTAAAAGTATTGGCACATTCGACCGTTGCCCGCAATCAGACCAATTAAAGACTAGTACAAACTAAGTAAGTATTTCTATTCGATTTGACCGATAAAATTTCTTTAAAAAAATCGTATCTTCTATTGTCAGAAATTATAAAATTTTTTAAATCGTTATCAGATTTTCGCCTAGTAGTTCGCATGCGTTTCAAATATTCATTTGTTCCTATGCCAATAACTCGGTGGCGGGCTCTAGGGTAGTTTTGTGCTTACTACCACAGACTTTATTTTCATATAGTCTGTGTTACTACTTTTAAGCCGAGGCGATGTTAGGTTCCTTCATAATTAAATACAACCACTTGCTTTATTGATGAATATGTTGTTGTCACAACAATTTAAAGTTGGTGTTACATACATATATTAAGTCTTATAAAAATAAATTTGTAATTTGTTTGAATTGTTCTATCTTTCATATTATAGTCTGAGGTTATCAGTAACATTACTCACACAAATTATAATTTTACTTCGTTTTATATACAATCATGATTTTTATCATGATTTTAGAGTTGACATTTTATTGATATTGTTGAATTTTCATAAAATATTACGACAATACATAGTTTTTACAGTAAAATTATGTTTTGTTGCAGTATATATGTCTGTTGTATTCTCAAAATAAGACTGTTGGAAAATTTAGATCATTCATCTTATTATTATTGTATTAGTGTATTAAAAGACTGGTACCGATTATGATCGATGCTATTACACACTGTAAAGCAATATTCTTTAAAATTTTCGGTTATTTGTTTTTGAAATAGTCTTAATTTAATGTCGTTTTCATACTTTTATGTTGTATTTTTATCAAAGATGCATTTAAATTAGGGTTCACTACAAGTTTAATTTAAAAACTTAATGATTACAGACCTATTATAATACTTGTTATTGGATTTTCGAAAACTCTGTCTTCTCTTTTCATTAAATAATTCTTTTTAAAGACCAGTTTCATTAAATCTATTTTATAATTATCATTTTTTTATTGCTTTATAAAAATTGATTAAATTTAATGAGTTTATTGAAAATTTAAAGAACAATTTTTCCTTAATTAATAGCTCTAAATACAAAAGCACTTATTTTTTAGTACAACAGTATAGATTCAACTCTAATTTCAACTTTTAAATTTAAGTGAGAGAGTAATAATATCTGTCTTTTTTAAATTCTGTAATGTAAAAAAAAAAATTAATCCTTAATAAAAACAAAAGCTTTTCAAAACCGTATTCAATAATTAGGTTTTCATGGAGTAAATTTACTATAATTTAACTAAGATATTAATTATTCACCACTCTGAACTAATTTACCCTAACAACTAGAGTAGATTTAATCAAACAGGCAAATTACTTGGTCGTTAATTAATTGTCTCCATAATTTGTAATAAATTATTGTGTTCGTGTGAATTCCTTGATGGAAATCAATCGTTGCCAGCCGTAGCTTGTTGTGTCTTCTTCACTAAAAAGATAATCCATTAAAGTAGTTCCGCACTTCCTTGTCTACCATCATAATTGGCTCCGTTTTTTTGGGGAATGTAATCCAACCATATTACCATTTTTTCATTAAATTTTCATTGAAACCGACAATATTATAGAATAGTAATTATTAAGTTGTCCTATGTATTCATTATTGGCGTCTTATGACATTCAAGCTCTACATTTGGTCTATTTCGCATATCTAGATAATGTCTAAAATATAAAAAATTTGTTTAGTGAAATCCCGTAATATTTAGCGCGCTACATAATAATCTAAATTTTGAAATAGATGGGATATAAATCAAAATTTTTACTTTATATATTTTTTTTCAATGATATTTTTATATTATAAAGTATTTGAAAATATTTTTTTAATAATAATTTAATAATTTTTGTGTATATATAAAATAGTATTTATAATATTAATTTTTTTTCTAATTTCAGTATTTGTATTACAAATATAGATTTTTACCAAAAATTTAATATCGTTTTCATGAAAATTAATTAGGTCCATAGTATGTATGAACAATTGTCAAACATTCGTTTTAATAATATTTTCGAATACATTTATAGAAAGTTACAATTTTAAAAGGTTTATTCATATAACTTTATTCCGAAATTTATACCGCATTAAGTATCATACTATAGTTTCATCTAATTTTAGCGATGAGATTAAATGTCCATGTTTGCCTATTACTGTGTTATTAAATTTTAAAACCGAAATTATATTCCATTTTTATAATTTTTTGTTTTATGCTATACAATTTTGTATGTGTTAAACTGATAAGTAATTACGAGAAGGTATGGGTGTCATCTTCCCGTGACAAAAATAATTACATTGTGAAGATACAGTTTTTTTTTCGTTTTCAAGGGATATTGACATTTTTTTTTATGTATACACGGAAGAATGAACGGTTAATGTAATAGACAACTTTAATAAAAACAGAATAACTAAATAAATGATTAAGTTAACCGAATATTCAGTTATTTCAATTGTCTAAATTGCAGTTGTCACTATGCTACTCTTTCATATGATTATTATAACCGTATATTTTTCCGTGTATCCTCTAAGACAAATCATCAATTACTACTGATATTTTATATCACATTAAATACTTTTTAAGTTAGTTAAGATAAGTTTGATATCAGTTTTCAACCATTAACTTCAATACTAAAGTAAAAATTGTATACATTTTAAATGTGTACTGTACATTTTAGTGCTGACAGGTTACAATGTCTAACGATAAATTTAATATTAAATATGAAACAGTTCTAATATTCTTTATATTAAAAACACTTAATATTATATTATTAAACTTGTGTCTATGTGGTCTTATTTTAAATTGATCTGATATGTAGTTTACTACAGGTAAGGTTAATAATATTATCAGTATTTTTATGGTATATTCCTAATTGTGTTCACTGTAGTCAATGATTTAATTTGAGTGTCAATGAAGCGTCTATAAATAATATCTCAGAATGCAGTAGCTAAATAAATAACAGAAAAATTGTTTTTAATAAAATTATATTTTAATAGAGTTTTAATAATTACAAAGTTTTTATATTCTTAACTTATTATATAAACTTTAAAATTTGAAAAATATATATGAAATTTGAATTTTGAGATACCAAAATTATATGAATTGATATGCCACTTAAAAAATTGATCCAATTAAAAAAATATATCCCCTTTGTGATACCTTAAAAAGAAGGGTTCAAATATAAAAAATCATGCGAATTTCAAATTTAGTGGCTACAAAAACATACATAACAATAAAATTGTCAATTAAGTTGAATTAGATTGGTAAAATGTCGGCTACTTTTTTCAATTTTGGACCAATGTGCGCCGGCACTATTCATTTGCATACAAAAATATATCTACAGAATCAGTAGTGCAGTTTGTTAGAATTATTCAAATTATATTTAAATTTATTTTAAAGAAAATGCACACTTTTACAAATATAATCATATTAAAACATTTAAAATTATTCATTAATATAATATAATCTTTCGATCAACAGTAAAACCTATTGATTTGATTTTTTACCCTGTTCTTTTACATTTACCTTACTTGAGCTCAAAGAAAAATATGTTCTTTTATAAATTTATCTTGATTATCTGATTAATTTGTTTATATATTGATATTGTTATTATTACGTTTGTATGTTGGAATATGTTTCTGGGTGTGTCGGTAATTTAACTAGTTTCGTCAATATCAGGGAAGGTTAAAATTTAAAAACTCATCCAAGGAGATTTAGCATATCCAGACTATGTTACCACACAGCTACAGTCGATTTTGAAATCTATTTAAAAATATTCACCTGTTGTATTTGGCTATGGAAATTATTTCTTAACAAACAGTTATGTGATTACAATAAATCCTAATTGTTTGGTGGTAACACTTACTTTTATACGTTTACAGTAAATTTCTATTTTATTGATAATTTTTCAATATTGATAACAGTAAATTGTAAATGTTTTTATTCTTACATTTTTGATACTATCATGTTAGAAAGGTTAGTACAAAGGTCTAATATATAAGCAGTGATGAATGATTTTGATTAATGTTTCCTTTTGACCTGGGTAAAATAATGCCTCCGCCGTTTGTGGTTTGAATCAGCTGGTTAAAATAGTAATTATTTAGTGTGTGAATAATGAAGTCAATACTAGCTCTTAGGTTTAATTCAGTTTGAACATATAATACACTTAAATTTATCTTCAAACTAGAACAAACTTTTAAAATATTTTTAGTAAGTATTAAAATGAAATATATATATACTAAAAGATTTTGAATTCTACATTTAATTCAATTAGACTATAATTATTGTTAAGTAATTTTTTTAAATCATACTTATATATACATTTAAATAAAGATAATTTTTATAGAAAATCCAATAAAATCATAGCTTTTAAATTTAGAATAAGAGTGCTTTGAGTATAACATAATTGTTTTTTTTTTTTATTCTAACCGATCTGGCTTCTTCGAACTTTCTCTCGATATAAGATTGGAAAACCTTTTCACATTAAGCTTCAAGGATGAATTAAAATAATTAATAATGTCTAATTTTTTTTCTGCGTTTGAGTGGATATTACTCCTTTAAATATTCTCAGGGATAGGCACATATTATAGGGGTTCCATGAGGTTTAGACCTCTCCGAATATTTTGGTCGTTGGTTGTTGATATTTTTAAACTTTTGATAAATGAGTATGGTCAGTAAGATAGGTCTTTGCTTCTACTGATTTCAACTTCATCACATACTATTAAAATTGAGTAACTCATCATACTAATGAAATTCTAAGGAAATAACTCTTAAGTTAAACTATTAATGTTGCTTTAAAAAATTTTGGATTATAAAACCTATTAACTTAAAATGTTAAAGAAAATAAAGTATTAAAAACCGATAATTTTTATACATTTTCTTTTAATTGTTTACTCATGTATAATAATACAGAAATGCGTACACTTCTATATTCTGTCGGGTTAAAATATGCTCTAGTCCTTTACAATTTAACTATTAAATAAAATTATTCTTGTTATTTTTGAAAAAAAATTGTAGTACAAAAGTTCAAGAACACATAGCACATTTTAAAGATGACTGAAATACCAATTTCATATAATTTTATTGGTCGTTAACAACTTATTAAGGTCTTACAATTGATACTGAACTGTTTGTCATTATACATACAATTAGAATACTTTTAATAATTGTATTTAATTATAAACGTACATGACCTTAACCGTCAATTCACAACAGGGCATATTTAATAGACTATAAAATGATCAATTATAAAATAAAGCCTATTTTATAAATATTACGTTCCAGGCATTCATTACTAATCACCTAAAAAAAAATCTTTTGTCATATCAGTAAGTAGATAATTTATTTTACCGGTGTAAAATTAGCAAGCTCATTAAAACTAATTGTCTCCGATATTACAATAACTTGTTAACATATTATGTTGCCACATTTTTATTTATTGTATTTTTTATTCGTAATTCACTATATTTTATGTTTTATTTATTAATAAATATTATTATTATAATCATAAATTGTATGTTTCCTATAAAAATCTAAATAAAACTGCTTTATAGATTTTTATAAAATGTCCATATAGGTATACAAAACGATAGTTTTCATTCATGTTGAGTAGATGGGAGAGTAAAACATATATTAAGTTGTTAATTAAGCGTACGTTCACTTGCATTAAGGCGAAATGACGCATCAGATTGAACAATAACTTAGTACTTGATGGAAAAAAAAAAAATCTTATTTGTCATAGTTTACACCAAAAGCCTATTTATTTCAATTATAGGATTACTTAATTGTAAATTGTTTTTTTATTCATTTAAGTATTTAAAGAACTTTAAGATCTAAATGCCGATGTATTCATGGCCAATATATTGGTTTTATATATTATTATTTGTATTTATTTTAAAGACATATACATGATAAATAAAATTTCATTGTAGATAGAAAAATAAAATTCCTTATACGCCACTAACAGAGACGTATCTGAAAATTTTACACCTTTCGTAAGGAAAAAAACACCTCTTCACAGTGGTCCAACCTGAGGATAACCTCTCTTTCGAAATAATTTGTGATGTTTGAATTTTTTAGTTGTGATAATTTTTCATGTATATTCGAATTTTTTGAGAGTGCAAAATAAACAATTTTTGTGATAAAAAGAAAAGTAATAACCCCCAAGATTATTTTCTAATTGCGCTACTGGTTTCTCTTATCCACAATTTTCAGCAATACATTACCATATCAGCTAAACATTCAACACCTCAAAAAAACTTTGATTTAGAGTATTTCACTTTGGGAAGCTAAGGCGTAAGCCTTAGCCTCCCAAAGTGAAATCCTATATTATGTTTTGAAAAAAGTGGGATTAATCGTATAAATTTAGTAGAATGTTTTTGCTAATTTTTCAGTCTATTGCTATAAAAGTGTTTTGAATAACTGGTATAAATAAATCGTTGTACTAATGTGCATCTCGCTACGTGAGATGCGTACTAATACAATTAAGAAAAAAAAAAAGCGGCAACCGGAAGTTAAACGAAATGATTTCTCGGTCACGTACATGTCTATAAAAACTTCGTCTAATTCAAATATGATAATAAATTGCCTTGTAATCATATAAAATTGTGACCTTTTGTCTCTCGTTTTTTATTGTTGAGCATCTTTTTATTTGATTTTGTTGGAACAAATTTGTTGTTTTGTCTTTATCCAAGGAAATGAAGTAGTTATTTGAATATGTATTTCTTTTTCATTATAATCAGGCGGGTATATATTTGTATAATTTATTGTTTTATAAGGTATAGTGGATCAAAGAAAAGTTGGTATAATCGTGATGTTCATCTGTCTGAATGAGTAACATACGTATTTACACTTAAATATAAATAAATATTAACTAACAATTAAAAAAAATACGTCATAACCTTTAGGTATACGTCAAATTATAGTAACTGTATTTTATCATGATTTTTATTTCATTACTATATGGTCGTGATCTGCGATTTTCATGTCAGTGCGCATAAGTTCTATTTTAGCATATACTTTAATAAAGATTATGAAATTTTTATCATATTCAAGTGTTCACGAGTATACAAGTTGTAATGATTACTTAAAATTTAGGTAATTTCCTAATTGTAAAAAAAATGTGTTAATCCCCAAATGATTTTTTTTTGTTCGTCTAAAAAATGTTTATTTAAATTTAACCTTGTATTAAAATTGTATTTCAATATTATTTAAATTTTATTGTTAACTAAAAAATGTTGTTTTATAGCCTACCAAGAATTTGTAGTATAAATTTTATCAATGCTAGCATTTTATTGCAAATTTTTTACATCTAGAGAAATTATCAGTTAATTTTAGTACTTCACATATTCTTTAAAATATTACTAATTGTTACAATGAGAATAGTTGAACATCCAATTTGTTTTATTGTATAAAAACTTTTAACTTCAAGTGGACTTAAGACCAGTTCATTTGCCTTAGTGACAAAATTTTATAAATTAATAAAAAAGTCATAAACTAAATTTAATATTTTCAAATTTTGAAAAACTAACGTATTAATTTACCTGTACTCGCTAAATAATAATTTGTCATTGGTCAAATTTTGAGCGGTCTCTTAAAATTAATAATGTATACATTATTTATCTATTTACAACGTGTTAGGAATACTTAACACGTTAACCTCTTGTGTCACTGTCATTGTGTTGTATTTGTAGTTCCAATAAAAATTCGAGTTAAAATAACTCTTCTTCGAAGTAGCTGCTGATATGAATTTGTTGAATACATTTCTTTTCTTATTTAATTAGGATTATGTATTTAAAATGTTTAATTTTTTTTTATCTTTTGACAGTACTACTTAATGTAGAAGTTATTACAAATTACCAGGTTCATTTAGTATTAATGATATTGTATATATATATAATACTTGTGGGGCAATTTGGAAAATCTACTTAGCCAAATTGGATTGCATATTATTAAAAAAATAAACCCAACATAGAGGGGTCGCGGCATAGTTTGATCAAGTATAATGATATCTGACAGTGATTAAAATCACTATATAAAAAAAATACTTCGATGCAAATCTTTAGATAGTGTTCAATTTTAAAAAAATTGGTGGATTATTTCAAAAGCTACATGATCTCCTATTTCCTTATTAATATCCTGATTAAGATAAAGTATGTCAAATGAAAGAGGGATTATTAAAAAATATTATTTCTCATAAAAAAATTGTGTTGATCCATACACTTTTCAATAAGTTATAGCATTATAAAGTTAAAAATGTAAAAAATAAAATCGAGAATTTTCACATAATAATAGCATTTGGTAGCCATTTTCACCGTGAAGACAAAATAAAGACCGAAATTTTTTTTTTTCATAATAAAGTACATTACATTAGTTTTAATTTAAGATATATATAAAAGTGTCAAACTTTCAGAAACCATATCAAAAGTTAAGTGTAAAAGTAATTTTTTTGTGAAAAAGTTGTCATTTTAAATCCCCCCCTTAAGCAGATAAAGGGTTAAATTAAAAAAATATATATACCAAATGATAGGTAAAAAGATCAAGCATCGAAAAAAAAAATTATATTGATTTGGTCATTTTTGAAAAAGTTGTCAGTTTTAAGTAAAAAAAATTGAAAAAATTTCAAATATTAGCGATTTTAAAATTTGTAATTTTTTTGGAGGTATCCCCCTTTTACGGGGTACAAGGGAAATTTTTTCAATTTTTGAGGGTAATATCTTCGATTACATATGATTTGTGATCTTTTGACGTATCGTTGAAAGAAATCGGTTCTGTGAGAGCTAAGAAAAAGTGGTAACAAACACAAAAAAAAAAAAACACAACATAGCAAAACCAATACCTTCTCAACTTCACATCGAAGCTAATATGAAAATGAAACATCTAAACTTCATTTGTGTAATCTAATTAGATAAGGAGTATGAATATACTTTAACAAAAATATATATTATTAATCCATATTGTTAAATTTTTCTTTTTTTAAATAATATAAATTACTTTTAATATACTGATCAGGGCCGGATTTAAGGGAGGGCTGAGTGGGCTGCAGCCCAGGGGCCCCCACAAATTTGGTATACATTGGTATCACAAATATGATAATTGTTATTTAATAAGTAAAAAAATATATTTCCTTGTTTATGTGTAAGGGGCCCCCACAATGCATTCCGCCCAGGGGCCACCACATACCTAAGTCCGCCCCTGATACTGGTCCATGGATAAACCTTATATAGCTTTTCCTACCACAACTTGGATTTATAGACTCAAGATACAATTTTTTAAAGGTTGGTCCTCGTGAAAAAATAATGTTTTTAGGCATTTTTTTTTACGTTACATTGCAGTGGATTAAAATAAAAAATACATCACATCAAATAAACTGAATATAAAAACTTAATTTATGTTATTATGTGCTTTTTTAGTGCGATTTTCACATAATTAGTTTAACAAATTATCACATTCATACTTAATTCATTTTAAAATTAAAGCGTAAAAATCTTGAGAATATTAATTTTTGATGCATCCTTAAGTTTTATGAAAGAACTTTTCAACACATTGTACTTGCTACTCTTGTGGTTGTTGTGACCGTGATCTCTTTGGAATTTAATAATATTCTTCTATTTGAGTTTAAGCAACCTGAATTCAAATAATAATAATAGTTCTGTTAATAATTTACTCATATTATCTTATTTATATTTGACTCATAAATTTGTCGATAAATTTTCATAATCTCATGAAAATATTTTTTTTATTTGAATTAATTATGAAATTTAACTATGTTGATAATTTTAATTTATCATTTAGGAACAATATTGATTAACTAAAAACATGTCTACAACTCCAGACCAATTATTGACTACTCCATCAGAAGAATCTCAAAAGAGCGCAACTATTGTCTTTGAAATGCCATCTTCGGAATTAAAAAAAAATTGTAATAATTATAATACAACGAACGAAAAAAATTTATCAGGTAACTAAAATTAAAATTGTTTCTACTATTATCATATACACACTTTACTTAATTTACTATGTACGAATCAAATTTCTTTTCTTTTTGTTATTTTAAAATAAAATCTGTAATTGATTAGAATTTTAGTATAACACAGATTGACTAAAATAATTAATAATATGTAATACTACACAATGAAATTATGAGTAGTTTATTGAATCAATTGTATTTTGTTTTAATGGTAGTGTTTGAAGATGGTAGTATTATCTTTCTATTGAATTATTATATGGTATTAATATGTCTTATATAACTGTTGCTAAGGTTGCACTAATAATTAATAAATAATGATCAAGTAAAAAAATTGTTTAGTATTTTTTTTAACTGTCCGTTTTCTGTCAATTGTTTTGCTATTTATTTTATGAAGTAGCCTATCCACGTGGATCTAATCTATTGACTTAACATACATTTTAATTAAAAATCCATTAAAAACATTTTTTTTTTGTTATTAAGCTACTCTATCCTTAGTACGTCACTTAATATATTCTGATTATGTATACAGTAGTATTAGAAAGGGTAGCAAAGGAATAAGGTAGTCATAAAAATTTAGATGAATCTTTTTCTTATTCACAATTTGAGTAAACTATGAGCAAAATTAGACCATCAAGAACTTCATTGTGCCTTCCTCATAGATATACAATTGCTGCTCTTTGACTTTAGTGATTTTTAAATTACATCGTAGGGTAATGAATATTTGAAAATTAAGTTTTTTTTTTCACCATCATAATATTTATTGTTTTAACACACGTGTTTTTTTTGTTGTAATTTACAGAGAATAAAGCGATATCAAGTTGATACAATTGTCGTTGTAGTCTTTTCACGCTCTACCATTCGTACACTTAATTGAATATATTATTATTTTTAAGGCTGTTTACTCACGTGATATTTGTCGCTGTATTATAAATTTTACTGTGATGAATTATTGTTTTTAATTTCTACTGGAATATCTTTAATCTTATGTCTTGTAACTTTTATATTCCTCGGCGACATGAGACACCGAAAAAAAAAAACTAGATCATTAAACAAAATATTTGTATGTGTATTTATATGCACACTACACTTGTTAGTAAATACCAAATGAATTAAAAAAACGATAAGGAGTTTTTAGTTCATGAGATTATCTTGTTATTCTTTATATATTACTTTTTTGGTTAATATTTTGAGGAAACTCAGGATTAAATATATAGTGTAGCATATAAATGGAAAGTTCTTTGAACATTTTAATTCTATTTGTGTTTTAAAAATTTAAAAATTAGAAATTGTTTACTGCATATTTTGACGTCATTACATGATTTACCTAGCGAAAACAATGACCATGCATTATAACAACAAATTTTCATTTCTTGTAATTATACGTTCAACTAACATTTATACAATCAAACTTTACCAAGAAATATTTTTTTAGAATTATGAAGGTTAAGTTTTATTTTTTCCAACTTAGACAATGTATTGAATACATATTTGGGTATAGAACTATGATTTTTTTATTTCATTTTTCATTTTTTTTAATTAATGAAAGATTTATTTCAGGCGTAAACATAGAGTTATACATAATAAGCTATTATTTACTGTTTTAGACGGTTCTTGTAGTGGAATTTCACTAAGAACTTGATAACGTTTCGTTGCTATTTTTCTATGTTATAACATAACACTACAGTGTTATCAGTCATGGATTCAGGGGATTGGTAGGGGTGGCCTCCCATTGAATTAATATATATATATTTGAACATTTTTCTTCCCGTTAGTGCAAGCTGGATCCGCGCATGTAACCATTGCATTTACTATACATAAATTTCTTTGATACGATATATTAATATTATATCAAAAAAACTGAGGAGTCTTATTTAAAAAACAGTTTAAATAAAAAGCTTACTGTTATTATATAATTACTATTTTAGAAGAAGAAACAAATCACTAGTACAACTATATATTCTGTATTCAAATAAACAGAATAATTCTTTATTCTTAACAAATATTAATATTTATTTATATTTCGTTAACATTTATTCATTCTGGTGTATTAAATAAAATAATTTATAAATTAATGTGAATATTTGAATGTATCTTAAAATAAAATTGTTACTGTAATACGGGTTGACTATACATGATTAATATTGAAGTATCGTCAAAATTAATACGGTGTCGAGAAAAAATACATCTCACATTGGTGCTTTCCATTCAATCAATAAATCAACCAATCACCTTATACTCTACTTAGAGGGATTCAATTTTTAAAATTATGTTTAGATGTATTATTTATGTCGTGCATAAATCACTTGTCAAATTTCGAAACTATCTTGTTTATATTTTATTGAAATACGACATCTTTAAGTACCACGAGTCAAATTATTATAAAAACCACAAATAGCATGTTACGAAATAGTTTAATAAGAAAGTAAGTCAAATTACTATTGTGTAATCATTACATTCATTAACTCTTTCCAAGTTATTGTGAACGCATAAGAAAATGTAAGTGTCATGATATTGACCGTCAAATAAAGAAAAATAACAGTAAGTCAATACACTAGTGAATATAATTATTATCAAGTATTTAAAATAATTACAGAAGTCTTTTTTACCATTAATGTTCATTACTGAACTCGTTTTCGTCAATTTTTTGCATCACAGTTCTCAATCGATCATTTTCACTTATCAATTTGTTTACTCTGGCTTTTAGTGAGTGCAAACCTTCTTCTTTCACTTCTATCTGTCCAATGGTATCAATCAAATCAGTCTTTTCTTTACTTATTATGACTAACTGTTCTCTAGCACTGTTCAATTTGCTCTTATGAAATGAGATTTCGGCCTTGGCTAGTTGCAATTGTTTTGAACGTTCTAAATCTTCTGATCTTAACTTTTTATTTTCTTCTTCTAATATTTTAACTCTATTAGCCATGTCATTCTGTATTGACGAATTTCTATTTTTGGTCGATTCATTACAATCGGTTTTTATTTTTTTTAACGCTTTATTTTCTTTGTGAAGTTTTTCTATCGTCAAAGTCAAATCGGATATTTTTGTTTCTAAGGCACTTGTATCTATGTTCTTTTTATTTACATTCTCGCTTTTTATCTTCGCATCTAAACCTTTTTCCAGTTCCCTTAATGTTGTTTCTAATTTATACTTCATGTCACCGTGAAATTTTTCCAAATTAATGGAAACGTCTCCTACCTTCGGTTCTTTTTCAAAACCATTTTGTGATAAATAATTTGTAACTTCGTCTAAGTCATGAAATTCATCTTTGTTCATAATTTTCCGGAGCAAATATAAGTACTTAATTTTCATATCCGTGACTTTCACTAATTTTCGCCATAAATCATCATACAGTAAAATTAACGGACTAATTACCTTTTCTAATTGTTCTATCGAATGTAAATCGAATGTTTGTGGTACCTTGAGATTAGGTATATATACTGAATGAATTTTTTTGACACCGGTTTTTTTTGGTGTAGAAAATTCAATACCAAACTTTTCCGTTACAATACCCATTACCTTCAACATTAATTTTAGAAATGATAAATTATTTAATTATTTAAGTTTTTTGGAAGAAAGATTTACCAATTTTTGCAGACTTATCAAGTCACAATCAGAATTGTTTGTACCGATGTTATTTTTTAACTTGTTAATCGCTGCATGACTATCAATTAGTTGGTCTGCAGCTGAAATAAAATATTTTTGCGTATTCTTGTATATAATAAATTTTGCATTGAATGCTTTTTGTTGGTTTTTTTGTTTTAATTTGGCGAAATCTATGTTTTTTGATTGAATAGCAGCGTTACCCAAAGTTACGACACTTAAATTTTTACTGTTTTGGCAATCATGACTTTGGCCATCACCATGAGCAGATAATTCATGACACTTAACGAATTGATCATCGCTGGTTGTTAATACTAAATCGTCACAGTTTATATTTTCATCAACCATGAAGTTACTTTATATTTTTTATGTAAAAAATAAAATAGAAATTTTTATACTTTTACTGTTAAATTTGAGTATTCTCAGAATGATAATGAATATGTTATTTTATATAGTTGTTATAGTAATTTTATTTGTCTAATTTAAATAGTATAAATTAAGTGTATTATACTTAATTCATATTGAATTTATACTGCAGTTTGAAAAATCAATCCATCATAAAATACCATTGATAATTGTTTGTTATATTTATTATCTATTGTGCCTTTAGATAATGTATATGTTAAATTATCTTTTCAGTTTAATTACTTTATTTTAAAACGTTTTAATTATTTTTATAATCACTCTGAATGTGCTTTTAGTATTGTTAATGCTATCAAGGCCGTTTCCAAGTGGGGTTCAAGGGGTCCGGACCCCCTTAGGAATGTTTTTCAAAAATACATACATACACACACACACACATATATATATATTTACATATTTTGGAGTTCTCCTAAAAAATTATTCTGAATACTATTATCGAGTTTGAGATCGTAAGATTCTCTATAAAACGCGTTGTTTTATTTGTATACATAAAAGACACTTAGAAATTTATGTACTAACAAAGTACCCAGGAATTAAAATTCCTATACTTCTGACCTTTCAGCTTAAAATACCTGGTCGTACATCAAAATTAAGTCGTTTGGTATGTATGCATGTTGCCGTTATATACTTTGAGTCGTATTCATGAAAACTGTAGATTGTTGTTGATAACTTCTATACTATGAATGCGATTAAAAATGAATTTTTAATTAATGTATACACTCTTAAGTGTATTTTCCACTTGACATGCTTTGTAAATTAGGACAATAGGAACAATTGTTTGACGAGTTAAGTATAAAAGTACAAAAACTGAAAATCAAATTATTTATCAGACAAAACATCATGTAAAATAATAAAATATGTTAAAATTATAAAATTTGATTCTGTTTTATTTCAATACATTGTTGACTGAATTTCTATATCAATAATTTTCAAGGTCTTATTGTTATTTATGTAATTGGATAATCCATCTGATAATTTTTTTTTTTATATCACGTACATCATCCAGGTTATTTAATTTGATACTATGGCTAAAGGTCTTATATAATAGTCGTTTTAATAGCCTTAAATGGAACATGGACGTTTTTTGGTTGCCGAACATAGTTTGACATCCCTTTAGTGTTAATAACCTTAAAGATTGTTTTGAATATCAATAAAATATTATGTAGATAATTAATTGATGGTACAAAATTGGCAATGTCAAAAACAAAAGAATTCGTTTCGCACGTCATTTCACGGAATCTACGGTTTTCCCGTGTTTAATTTCTTTGAACGGGTTTCCATTATAGCCACGGGCTTTCAGTCAACGGCATGTCGGCCATCATGTTAAAACAGTGATATGGCCGTGGGTAGACGTTTAGATGCGAAATCGTAGGCACACACCACACTAGGGACTACACGCAATACACGCGCGCCTTTACCGCAGGGTAAAGGCGCGCGTGAATGTCAATTGTAAACATGCGCTTGCGCGACATATACCCTCTTGTTAAAGTGGTGCTGGTACGCTAGTGTTTTACTTAACATTAAGGTTAGGATTACCGTGAAACACCAGTCCCGGTTACCAACGACGGTGACTCGTTTTACCTTCTATACCGACTGCCGCGTGCTCAGTCGATAGTCTGTTCTCCGTCAGTTTCAATAGTTTGTCCGAAGCGGCGTTACACTCTAGAAAATTTTTCTCTGACTTCTCCCACATTAAATAATTTATTTTATTACTATTTTTTTAATAAAAATTTTTATTACTAAATTTTTTATAATAATTTTTTTACGTAATAAAATTAAAATTGTTTCACAATTGATTTTGTTTTTATTGATTTAAATCGGTGTATTCATTGCATTACGCTCGGTTCAAAATGCCCAATTACATATACAAAGGTAAGTATGGCGAGATTTGAGTCATAACTTTATTCAATAATTGTATTATAGTTTTAACTCATCAAACTTTACTCACTTGTCATTTTTATAAAAATGTCTAGAAATTGTAGCGTTGCGAATTATATTCGTAAAATATTCGTTTCTTTATGATAATTTTTTTGGTGCAAATATTTTATTTTTATTTTCTGTGCTATGGCCATTGTTGTTACATCCTACCAACAAATAATTAGTTTCAGATAAATCTAAATAGCAAAGTTATTTGATTTTTTCACATTTTTTTAATAAGTTCTTGGCGAATAGTTGCACTTACGTCAATCATACAAGTTTTAAATGGACAAAATTGAAATAATTTATTTTACTGAAAATAATACATATGTGTGATTGTATTATTTTTATGTAGTATAATATTTTATTTCCAAAAATAGTGTTATTTAAATTCGTTAAAATATTTCCTTTCTTTGACGCGTTAGGATTAGCGCTATGTTGATGATCTCCATTGCAAAATTGTAAATAATATTATAATATCATGAATTTTAACCCAACGGTAAGCAATTTGTTATTGCTTGCTCAATTTTTACGTCACGGTCTTGTTTGTTTTAGAAAAACATAACTTCGATTGATTGTAGAGTACTTGCTATTTTATGATGACCTTTTATATTGGTTACTAGAGTTAGAATACACACCATAGTAAGTTATAATAATTATAACTTACTATGGTTATATTATTATATTTTATAATAATTATTATTATAAAATATACTCTTCACTAATTTATTAGAATCAGTCTTTGGAGTACGATCATTTTATAAGTTAATATAATAAGTAAAAAAAAATATAAATTGGAAATATATAATTATTAGAATGATATTGTATACCAATTAGATCTTTCATACTTTTATAAAATTAATATTATGATCTTCGTGTTAGAACAAATTTAAATTTCTATAGAACCAATCATAAGCATAAAAAAAGATTAAATGGGATTTTTTTTCTTTTTTTAATTTAAAGTATCGAGACTAAAAATTAATTTAAAGTTCATTTGTATGTATAAAATAAATGTTTAAGAAATAAAAAGGATTTTATTTTGTTTGTAAAGTATATAAAAAATGAGTTATATTTAATCAAATAATCTGATGATTGTCTAGTAATTGATTTTTTATTTAATTTTATAAAAGTCTTCCGCCTACCACAAATAATCTTATTTACGTCTTAACGTTGTACCCACACAAAAAATACACGTTACTGTCACTGAATGTATAATTAATTTTTTATAGACATCTGGTAACATAATGATTGATTTTCCTTTAAAGTATTGTTTTCATTAACCAATACTAAAGGTACATAATTATAAACTAAAAATATAACAATAAATGTATATATTCGTTATTATATTATAAAATTTTGAGCCAATTTATAGTCTTTACAATATATATATTTTTTTATTTATTTACTGAAAACAATTTTCTAACTATCTACTATCCAAAATATTTGTGGATTTAGTAAGTGCTATTTTTAGCACAACATATACAACATCTTATCTCCTAAGATAAAACCTTAACGGTATTAAGCCGTATATAACTGAAGTTAAATTTTTTAATTTTATCAATTTAAATTCTTATATGATTAGTTGTATGTTTTAAAATTGACGTATAAATCAAAATTTATTTATTATGTGTTTAATTCAGTTCAATTATTATTATTTATTAGTAATTTAGCTCACTTAATAATTAAAAGATAAAACGAAATTATAGAATTTTATTGGATAATTAGTTAAGTTGGGTAGTAAAAAAGTAATAACATTTTTTTGTTAACTGTTGGTCTACAAAATAATCTAACAGAGTTCTGAAATTTGTATATTATGTAGCGCATTAGTTGAATAGAATCAAGTTGTCCTTAAATAACACAATCAATGTAATTATAGTTATTTTAATGTCTGTTGTTAAATCTTAGTATTTGTTATTTATTAATTTTTAAATAACAACAATTCAAGAAGCTTTCATATGATATCTTTTTTGAAATTATCAATTCAAATAAAACTTAGATTGAACATTTTTATTATATAATAAGATAAATTGTATGCTTAATTTTAACCATACCGTTTTTTTTAATAGTTAGAAAAATTAAGAAAGTTACATGAGTATTAATAGTTTTTACTTTTTTTTATTGTTCTTAAATGTATACAGTACACTTTCAAAAGCGTTAAATATTATTTTATAATTCTATGAAAATTAATGTTTATCATTTATGTAAAATTTATTTAATAATATATTTTAATTATAAACAAAAACGTACTTACAAGTATTAACTAACTTCACTTATTTTCATTCAAAAAATAAGAAAAATTAGAATCAGTTTTCTCTTAATCATACTAAACAATAGTGCAATTAGTAATAAAATTGATAATATAGTATAATATTAAAATGAAATAACATTGAAATCCAATGTCATATTTTTGCTTAATAATATATAAAAATTGACAAATTTTTTTATTGAATGATGTTCAATATTATTTTATTTAATATAAATATATTTTATATATTTAACAATATATTTTTTAAATAAAATCTTTTTAAAGACTGTGTGATATGATATATGATTAATTTGTTAATAAGGTTATCATCTTCATCACTCTTTCTATATATTTATGCACTTCTATTATCTTGTGACATGCATTTGACATAAATTATAGCTAATTATTTCCACATTTCCTATTAAGATAAGAATAAAATCAAATACAATTATATAGGGTAGAGATAGTGGGAGGACCTCCTTATAGGTTGTTATGGTTGACTCGTTTTAAAATCTAACGGAAAAGAGTCTTTCACTTTACGCTCTGGAATTGTCGAGGTTTTCATTGTGTTGTGTAACTCTATAAGGTTCAGTGTACATTGTACGCCTACTAAATTATTATATTTGGTTTAATTTTACTTAATGTATACTGTAAATATATAATTGGTTAACTTTTTTTAAAATAATAAAAATCACAGAATGCGAGGTTGTATATCAGTAGTCAAAAGTCTTCCAAGAGATATCATGAGAAAATTAAAAGCGCCTGTAGATTTTATTGGTATGTCTCTAAATGGCGGTAAACATTATTTTAAAATATTTTTACTAGGGTGTGTGAATTTAAAATATTTCTCTTCAGCTAAAACTGCATGATTTTTTTTATATGTTATTCCGAAATAATTAATTAAGGTGTTTTTATATTGTTCAGGAAAATGTATAAACTCGGACAATAATAATGAACTACGCATATGTTTCATTTTTTGCATTCATTTATGATTGAAGGCAAAATAAAGTAATATTTAATTATTAATATCTTTGATAAATAGTTCTAGTTTCAAAATTGACTTATATTAAAATTTGGAATTTTGAATATAATCTGTACATTTCAAAGTGTAATTATGTTAAACAATGTCAGGGAAAATTGTAGTATAGCTTATTGAACTTTTATTTTTCAATAAATAGGGTTGCAAAAAATTATTATTATATAAAATAATAATAATTTTGCTTACCCAAATGTTTTGCTTCAGGACAGTCCTGAGTAAAATACCGTAATTTACTTATTTTAGATAAAACTTATTTCTTACTTTCTAATTTGAGAGTTAGTTATATTGTGGAATTTATTCAAACGATTAGAAACATTTAGAATATGTTTATTTAAAAGTTAGAATTCATCCAACAAATACTATACATTTTTTTGATATTTTCTTTTTAAATTTTATTTATTTTTGAGAATTTTTTAATGGTTATGAATGTGTGTGTATTGTTACTAAATATTATTAAAAAACCTTTTTAAGAAAAATGTTGTTTAACACATTCAGATATATAATATAAATGTAATTATACATGAAATATTGTGTCAATAAAACGGTAGGAAATGAACACTTGTTTTTTAAAAAAAATGCACACAACTATCTGTTTGAACTTAATTATTTTTTGTTTGGTTATTAAATGATCGACATCGCTATAAATTGGATAGTTTATTCGATTAAATTCGTATTTAATAATATTTAAAATTGCGTAGCCATTGCTCATAAACTAAATTCAAGTTATTATGGATGATTTAACTGGAATACTTGATGTAGACAAAGGTAGTATATAATTAGTAATATTTAATCTCTATGAATTGTTTAAAGTAATGTAGTGATAATGATACTTATAATTTATATAAAACTCATTTTACAGTTTTCAAGATTATATTTCTGTATTAAAATTGATTTTTAAACTAAAATAAATTTTAGTTGTTAAAATTTCGATTTCACATTAAACATTAATTACTTAATTTTTGACCATTAAAATAAAAAATATTTCACTAATAGCTAACAATAAATATTGTTTTTATAATTTCTATAGTGTGAAATTGCGTTGTGTCACTAGTTGGCTGCATCCTTGGGTGGCTTTTTGATGAATGAAGAGTTAAATATTAAATTTATTTTTGAGCTACTTATATACAATGTGTATCAAAAAAACGTAAAAATTAAAGTTCACTTTTGTTTTAAATGTAATACTGTTTTTATAGTTTTAACATAAAATAATCATTATTAAAAATTTTCTTGTTAAACACTAGAAAAACTATATTTAGTTTTTTTAAATATTTAGAAATCAAATGTTGATAAGAAAATTTAATTTTTAAGTTAAGGCATGAATAGGTATTTTAGGTTAATTATAATAATTATAATTTTGCCTGGAATTTTCAAAAAGCTATATACGCTACTGGCTGTATCATAAGAAAAAAAATTTTTTTTGGTTAAGTATTAAAAGTGTCTTTGTTATTGAGAAAAGTAGAATCGGAAGCCGTAAGAACAGTTATAGAAATAAATGTTGAAGGAAGAAGAGGTAGAGGAAGACCGAAAAAGAGATGGAGAGATGTTATTGAATGCGATATGTGGACAGCTGATGTGAGCGTAGAGGATGTGGGAGATCGTGTCTAGTGGAAGTTTAGGATATGGGTGGCCGACCCCAAGTAGTTGGGATTAAGCCGAGGAAAAAGAAGAAGAAGATTAAAAGTCTCTTTGCAATCTGGAGTTAGCATATTTTATGAGCAATATTAAGACTATATTAATCTAACCATAGACATATCGATGGACTGTACGAACCTATGTTAGGCATTGAGACCATAATTGACCTTCAAATCTTAGTAAATTATCATGGAGAAGTTAACATGTATTTTTTTCATAAGAATTATCAGTATTTAAATTAAAAGAAAAATCATCTGAATTTGTTCTGCCAAGTTGCATATCAATAATTATTTTCCACTAAAATTTATTATCAGTTTTAAATGAATAATGACTCCATTAATAGAAGCAGTCAAATATGTCTATGAATCTAACACTTAAATAAAGTTTTGAGAATGTTAATGGAAATTTCTGAAAGCGCCACTTAAAGTTTATACGAATATTACACTTGTTACATATATATTAACTATATTTTTTTAATAGTGTTAAAATATGATTTTAATTCATCTTAAATTATTTTTATGTACTCAATACAAATGTAAAATGACTTTTAGTTGTCAATTTCGTATTATTAATTTAAAGCATAAATTAATATTGCAAATATTAAAATATTTATTAAATAATTATTTCGTTTCACGATGGCTTTTTAAATTAATTATTCAATATTGATAACAATCAAATGCTTAAGAAATCAGTAAATATTATCAATAGTAAATATCATTCAAATATAATATTAGAATTTACTGGCGCGCTTGTCAATTATTGTATATTATATCTGTATTCGAATGATAATTTTTGATAAGATTTGTAGAGTTCCCATAAGAAAAAAACTAGTTATGTTTTCCTTGTAACTAATATCTAATTCAAACATTCTTTGTATTACGTTAAATCAACTGAAAAGTATTACTTTTTTGTTCTACAACATATTATTAAATGTTATACTGTACCTAATAAAAATGTCTAGATATTAGATGTTGTAACTAAATACTTCAATATTAAATAAATTTTGTATTTTTATAAATTTTTATGAAATTAAAATTTACTTATAATTTTTATTTGTTTACTACTTCGTCTTGACAATTGTATTTTTTTTCGAATAATTGTCATGTTGATAAATATATGGATGAAATGTTTCAATTTTCTTTGGTATCTATCCATGTATGACTTATGGCCTTAATTTAAATACTGATTTATTACAAAAGTGGTAACATAATGAATTCTTACATTATTATTTACTACAAATAAGTTTTGTGATTAATAAAATGGATATTTATGTGGAACATGATGATACTGAACTACTATTAGAAATAGGTTATTAAAGTGGTCTTAATGGAATATGTTATTCATGTGTACATTTTTTTTGTATTATTTGATCTATATAGAGCTTTGTGATAAATTTCAGATGCAAATCAACGTGGACAATTGTTTTCACAACCTCCATGGCAGAAACTTTTAGTCATATTCTTGGCAGAATTAATTGGGACTGCAATTTTAATGTTTTTTGGTTGCATGGGTGCAGTTCCATCTACTCCAACTGGAAGTCTTGGGCAATATAGTAGTGCTCTTTCATTTGCCTGCTCTGTTTCAATAACTATTGTTGTAAGTATTTATTTAAGTTGTGTTTGTAATATTTGAATTTTACCGTGTATAGCTCAACCTTTTAACATTACCAGAAATCAACACTTTTGAGTTTGATATAAAAAATAATTAATGTGGCACCTAGAGCAGAAGTAATCAAAGTGATAAATAGGTGATTTTGAGAAAATTGAATTTAAAAGTTGGAAAATTTTCTCAGTGACGTTTGATTTAGGAACCGTTGCAAAGTAGAAATTTTTAAAAACAAATATTTGGTGATCTTTAATTCTTTTGAAAGAATGAACATTTTATTTTTTGGTTTTACATTTATCTCAGTTTTTTCTAATATATGACTGACTGTTGCTCTATACACCTCAATTTAAAAGTAATTTACTTTTAAATGTGAACTATATAATAATAAAATTAAAAGTCAAAATATTTATTTTTTCAAGATCATTGGACATATTAGTGACTGTCATCTGAATCCATGTGTAACATTGTGTGCATTACTTTTAGGAAGAATTTCTTTAATTACGTCAATTGTTTATTTTATTGCTGAATTCCTAGGAGCATTGATTGGATATGGACTTTTAGTTGTAAGTAATCTTAGTTATATGAATGCTAATTTTTAAGTAATTTTTTTATGTATTTTTCAGGTTGTAACTCCATATAATATGTTAGATGGCAGTTTTGGTGAAGGTATTTGTGTTACTAGTCCAGTTATAGGTTTATCAGTTTGGCAAGCACTATCAATCGAAAGTTTGGCTACTGGAAGTCTTATCTTACTTGTTTGTTCTGTTTGGGATCCTCGTAATGATAATGGAGATTGTGGTCCGTTAAAATTTTTAGTTATCATATTTTTAACATCAATGGTTGTTGTAAGTAAACAAAATATTGAATTGAAAAATTTAATCTTAGTAAAATAATATTTGATGACCATTGGCATAATTGAAATAATGATGCTCAGTGGTTAAATTATATAATCCGTGCTAAAAAATATTGTTTTATTCAAGTATATGTAATTATTTTTAGTTTTAGAGGAATTAAGTCCTTATGTATGTGTCCTTATATTAATGTTGATGACTTAAAATTAATGACGTATTAAGCACTTACTTTGAATGAAATTAGTTAAAATAGTAGTTACAAGAATAAAAACTAAATATAGAAGACGGTATAATATTGTGACAGTAACTGATGCACACTGTCTCTGGTTTGGGAATCTGTCACAAGTGGTTTAGTTTACTTAGGGAGATCAGTTTAGTAATTAATTACAAATTATTTAAAACATTATACTTACTTAATTATATATTTCATGGCAATAGAATAAGAAAATTAATAAATATAATAATAAATTTTAATTTCAATTAAAAATAAAAATTTGAAGTATATTAGCTTCTATGCGAAGCTGAAAAGGTATTGGTTTTACTATGATGTGTTTTTTTTTTTATTATTATTATTATTTTTTTTTGTGTCTGTTTTTACTTTTTCTCAGCTCTCACCTAACCGATTTCTTTCAACGATACGTCAAAAGATCCCAAATCGTATTTAGTCGAAGATATTACCCTCAAAAATTGAAAAAATTTCCCTCGTACCCGTAAATGGGGGAAACCTCCAACAAAATTACAAATTTAAAAATCGCTAATTTTCGAAATTTTTTCAATATTTTTACTAAAAACTGCCGTAACTTTTTCAAAAATGAACATATCAATATAATTTTTTTTTTATATAGATGCTTGATGTCTTTACTTATCATTTGGTATATTTTGTAAGTCTGACCCTTTATTTGCCCACAGGGGGGGATTTAAAATGACAACTTTTTTAACTTAACTTTTGAAAATGTTCTGGAAGGTCTGACACTTTTATATATATCTTAAATTAAAGCTTATGTAATATACTTTTATTTAAAAAAAAAAATTTGACCTCTGGACTTGTCTTCATGGTTAAAATGGCTACCAAATACTATTTTCATGTGAAAATTCTCGATTTTATTTTTTTATATTTTTAACTTTATAATACTATAACTTATTGAAAAGTGTATGGATCAACACAATTTTTTTATGAGAAATAATATTTTTTTATAATCCCTTTTTCATTTGACATACTTTATCTTAATCAGGATATTAATAAGGAACTAGCAGATCATGTAGCTTTTGGAATAATACACCAATTTTTTAAAATTAAACACTATCTAAAGATTTGCATCGAAGCGTTTTTTTTTATAGTGATTTTAATCACTGTCAGATACCATTATACTTGATCCAACTATGCCACTTCACCACTGTGCCGCGACCCCCCTGTGCTGGGTTTTTTTTTTATCTTCATCCGTCATCTAATAGATGTTTTGGAATTATATGTTACAGTTTTATTTTTATTTTATAACTAATTTTTATTATGTGTTTTCAATTTTTTTTTTAAATATATTTAATATATTTCAAATTAATTTTTACAGGGACCTTTTACAGGAAATAGCTTAAATCCTGTTAGAACATTAGCTCCTGCCATATATAACAATGCTTGGAATATGCATTGGGTATGTAATAAACTAAGGAAATTATTAATATAATCTAGTCTTTGAATTACCTTTTACCTATTATAAATCGTGAATAGTTATTTTTTATTTATTCTGTTGAGTATTTTCATCATACAAAGTATATGACATACAAAGTAAATATGACATAAAATTGTCAAAATAATAATACGTGAATACATTTAGACAGTATTATGTGTATATTTTTTATTTTCTTTAAATGGGGTATACAATGAATCCAAATATAATGGTGGGTAGAATCATATATTTTGATGTTGTTTTACTAAATAAATAATAATTAAAATTAATTTTAGATCTACTGGGCTGGACCACTTGGAGGAACTGTTGCATCAACATTATTTTATAAGTATGTCTTCATGACTTTAAACAGTGGTGAACGTGAAAAGTGAAGCAATACCAAATAATGGCAATGTGAATTTAAAATAATTTTTAATTATATTTTAACTCTCATCATTTTACTGTTAATTTCCTCTCTTAAGATTATTCTATGTTATGTTGACTTTTTTACACTTTATTTTTATTACTTAATTTCATATAGTTATAAATAAGAATTTATTTTATCTTTATCATTTTTAAAATTTTTCTTTGTAAAATTATAATTTGTATAAAAGTTTTGTCCTAATTTTCTGTTTTTATGTTTTTTGTACTAAATATGTCAATATTCTTTATTAATTACATTGTTCCCAACAAAATGAACAAATAGCAGCAATAAGAACTAATTTTCTGAGTAATAGTTTTGTGCACTAATATTATTTAAAGAATATTTTAATTTGAAATTATATTTGATACTTAACTTAATTTTATGATGAGTTTATGATGTTTTATTTAGTACAATTTAAAATTAATTTAAATTTTTATCATGTATTTAACTGTCTGATCGCCTTTGTTTAATAGTTATAAGTGTTGATTATAAAGTTGACAATCGAAAAAAGTATTATAAACTTATTTAACTACTATATATTATATTATTTTTAATATATCCTTAAACCCAAAAATATCTATCATCCCAGCTCAAATTTTGCCTGTGGTTATTTATTGTATACCAACTTATTGTATATTAGTTATTAATAAATGTATGTTAAATTTAAATAATTTATAAATTTTATATATCAAAAATTTATTTATTGAAGATATATTTTTGTACTGATGAAATTAATAATAAAGTTCAAATTTAAATTTATTAAGTTCTAAAAAAATATCTATGAATTGTATAATTATGAATGGTATCTAAATTTTTGTCTGATTTGTGATCAATATTTATTAAAATGTATTTAATGACGTTAGCCTGTAAAAGGTTTATATGTTACAATGTCATTATTAATAATTTATATTCATAATATACATTAATATTAATATTATGAATATATTTTTATTATATTTATATTTATTAAATATATTTATTTATTCATTATTCATAATTTCTAAATAAATCTAATATTTTTAATTTTTTTCAATAACAATATCATCAAAATATTAAAATAAAATTTTTATATTAATCTTTTGATTTCTATAAAATATACTAATACAACGAATTGTTGTATGGAACTATATTACATTTGTTAACCAGTTGAGTGGGTACAACACATCAGGAAAATGCTTCATCGGTGTAACTAATATTTTTGAAGGTATTACAATTATTCGCCTCTTTAATTTGTTCATATAAATAAATATAAGTTTTTGGAAACTAATTCTTCAATGTTTTTTGAGTTAAGTCATTGGTATATATTCTACCCAAGAGTAAATAGAAAGATGAAGTAAAAAATTGAAAAATTAAGAAGTACAATATTATCTATTATTTATCAATTCAATTATAATATTTTGTTAAAACGTTTATGTGCAATTATATTTTAACATATATTTAATTATAAATAAAATGTAGTTCAAAATTTTAAAAAAATATTAAATTAGTATTGCAAATTAATACGACAAAAAAAATTTTTTTTTTATATTTTTATCAATATACTATATTGTTTTTTAATTTTATATTTATGATTGAGAATTTTGATAAGTTGGTTATCATTATTTATCACATAGTAACATGATGATGAAATAATTTCAAAACTAGTAGTTACCAATTAATTTTTAGCACTCAATATTTATAATTCTAAATTTAATTTCAATTTAATAATTTTCAATTTTAAATTACATTATATAAAAATTATATATATTTCTCAATATTAGTATATTTAAAATTTATATATATTATTCTATATTGATGTGATTCTTTCATATTTTTTAATAAAGATTTTATTACTAACTTTTATGAACGGTAATGTAAATTGTATTATATTTAATATAATATACGAGGTGTGACAATAAAATAACGAGACTTTCTAAATATATCCTAAACTATTAACGTTATCTATAAAACTATTATTGAAATATGATTAGGAAACACTTATCTAAAAGTACTATAAACAATGTTGAAATCGGTTAACTTTCTTATACGTTAGTAACCTTGTTATTAGTGCAAATTCGACTATACTGCCGAAAAATGTTCGATATAAAAATCGAACAACGTGTTAACATTAAATTTCTTGTTAAATTAAAAAAAACTGCCGCAGAATCATTTCGTATGTTATGTGAAGTTTATGGTGGAGAATGTTTATCAAGAGCTCACGTTTTTTAATGGCACAAACGGTTTTACAATGGAAGAGAGGACGTGGAAGACGATGATCATTCTGGACGTCGTACCACATGTTCAACAAACGAAAAAGTCAAAAAAATTGACAAAATTATTCGGCAAGATCGTCGATTAAGTGTTAGAGCTGTAGCAGAGATGGTAAATATTGATAGAGATAGTGTTCGTAAAATTTTAGTTGAAAATTTAAATATGAAAAAATTGTGTGCTAAAATGGTCCCTAAAAATTTGACGATTGATCAAAAATTCAATCGCAAAGAAATTTGTTCTGACACCTTAAAAATTATCAAAGATGATCCATCTTTTATAAATAATATAATTACCTGTGATGAAATGTGAATTTTTACATATGATCCTGAAACTAAAAGGCAATCTATGCATTGGAAGACATCAATTTCCCCAAGAATGAAGAAATCACGAATGAGCAAGTCGAAATTCAAAGCAATGCTCATTGTTTTCTTTGACATTAAGGGAATAATTTTTGTTGAATGGGTTCCTAATGGGCAAACTGTCAACCAATATTATTATAAATATGTAATAATTAAATTAAGAGAACGTGTTAGAAAAAAGCGATCAGATCTGTGGAAGAATGGCTGGGTTCTTCACCAAGACAATACTCCAGCTCACAGTGCATTTTCAATTCAAAGTTTTTTAACTGAAAAAAATATTTCTATACTTCAATATCCTCCGTACTCGCCAGACCTTGCTCCTTGTGACTTCTTCTTATTCCCAAAAATTAAAAGTTTTTTAAAAAGAACCCATTTTCAAACGTTTGATGACGTAAAAATGAAAATGGCAGAACTTCTAAAAGGGCTAACTGAAAGCGATTGGTAATATTGTTTTCAAGAATTGCAACGACGTGTATGCAACAGTGTGTTGATTCTGAGGGAAGGTACTTTGAAGGTGACAATCATTAAATTGTAAAATTTTTAAAATAAATAACTTTTATTAAAAAAGTCTCGTTATTTTATTGTCACACCTCGTATAAACTTAATACAATTTTGAGGGTGCTATTTGTTTCCAATAGAGTCAGTTTTAATAAAAAGATGAAAAGTTCTTATTAATAAATTGACATCTTCGTTAATTTCATTCGAAATTGAATGAAATGTAAGGTTACTAAATGATAGTGATATTAATCACAATCAGATTTAAATTTACAAGATCTTTCTGTTATCAATAATTATCTAATTAATCAAAAAATAATATTAATATTAATATTCAAATTTTTTCACTATTTATGTTATTACTGCGGATTTTTATTGACTTAATTGGTTTAATAAACAAATTCAATTATAAGGGTTTTAATTAATTTAAGGGGTTTTTGTAATATTTAGTGACTTACGTGACTTTAAATTTTTAATTAAAAACTTAAATACAACTAGTGCCGTGAGAGCTGAAAATTATTATGAACAGAAAAAAAAACGCCCATGACTTAAAAAAAATATAAAAAAAACCTGAAATAGAAGAATAATACCTTCTCAGTTTCGAGTGACTACTAAATAACCAATTAAAAAGTTATTTAAAAAATCTATTCCATTTTTTTAGATTCGATGCGAAGCTGAGAATTTTACTATGATGTATTTTTTTTTATGTCTGTGAACACTCAATCTCAGCTCTCGCTGGACCGATTTTGATGAACAATACGTCAAAAGATCCCAAATCGTATCTAGTCGAAGATATTACCCTCAAAAATTGAAAAAATTCCCTCGTTCCCCGTAAACGGGGAAAATCCCCCAAAAAATTACAAATTTAAAAATCGCTAATTTTCGACATTTCTTCAATTTTTTTTACTTAAAAATGCCATAACTTTTTTAAAAATGACCGAATCAATATTATTTTTTTTTTATAGATACCTTAGATACCTAGAATTTTATATATTTTTGTGAACATTTGACCCTTTAACAGCCCACAGGAAGGGTTTTAAAATGGTAACTTTTTTACAAAAAATTATCTTTTTCAACTTAACTTTTGAAAATGTTCCGGAAAGACTGACACTTTTATATTTACCTTAAATTAAAGCTAATGTAATATACTTTAATTTCAAAAAAAAAATTTGAATTCTGGATTTGTCTTTATGGTGAAAATGACTACCGTATTCAAAAATATGATATTTTTGTGTTAAAATTCTGGGTTTTATATTTTATTTTAATTTAAAATACCTGACAAGGGGAGTACACTGATTTTCATAAATATTATATAAATCAAATTGATATAGCATAGAAAGTTTAACTTATTTAAAGTTTTTTGCTTTTTTTTAAGTCGTGAAAATAGCTTTGAAATTTGAACTAGCTTAAATAAATAAAACATTATTATAATAAAATGAACAAATAAATATAAATTAAAAGTTTCACCAAAACAAAATTCATTTTAAAATTTCGAAGTATCATTTAATTTGAAATAATTTCTAAGTCCAAATTAATAAAAAAAACGACTAGGTCCCAGAGAGTGAGAAACTCAAGTAGATTGTCACAGATTTTAGGTATTTTAAAGTTAAGAACTGGTTTTAACGGGATAAAATGACTTTTTATAGTCAGAGAGGAGTAGTCCAGTGAACCCTAAGGTGATCTTGAAAGCTGAGGCTTATCAAATGTAATACGTAATATCAAATTTAAGGGAAATACCTAAGATAATTATAAAAAAAAAATTATTTTGTTTTGTTCATTTTTAAAAAATATTATGGTTGTTTTATGAAAAAAAGTTTAAATTTACCAATTTTAAAAATCAAAATTTTTTTGAGAATTTTTCAAAAATTATAATAAATGATTATTATTATTAATAATAATCATTTTTTTAAAGAATTTAATTGACTATTTACTAATCATAACAACTCAGGTAAAAGTTTAGTTATTTATGGTGTATACAAATACCTCGCCTCAACTAGTTATGTGAAATATACTGTAATTTTTTTCGAGAAAATTCATTTGAACTTGTTTTTTATTATAGATTACATTATTGTAAAATGGTTCTGAATTGGCCAACGTGTAAAGAAATTTATCACTTCTAAATTTATCTTCTGATAATTTCATCAAATGAAGTTTAGTAAGTATAGTCAACTACGATAATTAGTTAACTAATTATTCAATTTTATATTGCCGAGTTTACAAATGCTTTAAAGTTGTACTTGGAAGTAACCAAATTTATACTTAATGACCAAATTGAGTTCAATTTGCGGTAATTATTTAGAATTTTCATTGATTGGGAATTTTTCGGGTTGTATTTTTACTAAAGTATTTTTTTGAGAGGATTATTAGTTTTAGTCTTTGAACAACAAATCGTCGTTTATACTGCAACAGTGCGCATCTCAGTTTTTTTTTGGTTTTCAAGATCATCAAAGAACAAAATTGAATTATTCACGTTTTAATATAAGACGAGATTTTATTTTTTATAACTATTTTTTATAAACTGTAGTAGTAGAGTCCACAAAAAACATACCTAGAAAAAAAAATGTTTAGAAAAATTTCTCTTATCATTATAAATCAAAATTTTGTTTTGACAAATTTTGAGATATATACAGTTGCATTATAAACAACGAAATAAAACATTAAGAATCCATAGAAATGTAAAAAATATTGACAAGGTATAGAAATCAAAAACATTAATAAGCTACAGAATCATTTTTGGATTGTAAATCTTTTTAAAGAATTTTTGTTAATATGCAATTAACCAAGTAAACTTTTTCAAAAATGCATTTCCAACAAATATTTTTTACTTCCAATGATTGCCATATTTGATTAAATATACTTAATGAAATTACTTAGTTCAATATATTTTTTTAATATTATCCTCTCATGTAATAATCTGCAAAAGAATATTACTTTGTTACATCACTACCACTAACTCATGAATATGATATTATCACTTTATAATTTTGATTATTTATTACTTTTTCATATAGTCTGCGGTTAAACTATAAAACGAATATTACCGTAATCATGACATAATTAATATTTTATCACATTAAGGCAGTCATATAGACTTATATAGTGACATAGTTTATTACTAATTTTAAGGACCTTTAAAAGAAACGGATTTTGGTAGGGATGTGATACCTTAAAAATTTCTTTAAGACAAATAAAACGCGGTACCTGTTAGGTTCTTCTTTATTTTCTTCGTCAGAAACAATCATAACAATAGTGCTACTAAAATAAAAAAGACATTTAATTTTTATATCTTATGATATGTAATAAAGATATTTTAATTCAAATAAATATTTCTTTTTAAGTTTTATATTAAATTTAATTTTCAATCAATTTAAAATATAAATTGTACCTAGAACGATAGCAAATATTCAGAATACAATATATAAAATGTTTACTTTACAATTTTTTTTGTGACGTATGAGATTAGTGCGACTATATATCGTTCATTTTTTAATGTTGCTAATTCTATTTTAACAAACTTTTTATTATTGATTCATGATTATTTCTTTATAACTTCTCTTTATGTTTGAAATTATCTAGTGATAATTTGTTTTTAGTATATTTGTACCAGAAAATAGTAATATTGAATAAAATAAATATTATTACCATTGTTTTTATAATAAATATTTTTTCCTTGAACTTGTTCGTCTTTTATTAAAAATAATGAATAACAGAAATATCATGTTCAACAACGAATTTTCAGTAAGTATAATAATTTTTTTATAAAATATTATCAGCTATGTTTATTTATATTCCTATACATATTCTTTGTTTTTAAAATATAAGGCAAAATTTACGTTTAATTGTATACAGTTATCATGCTAATAAAGTGTTGGAATAAATAATATATTCAAAAAAAATAAATTGAATAAAACACAAAATTATGAGAGAAAAGATCATTAAAATAAAAATAATATTAGAACTTAAAAAATTTGTAACGATTTCAGATGTAATATAAAATAAAATAGGACTATACTATATACTGTATATTTCGAATTTATTAAATTATTAATCTAGGAAAGAGACACATTTTATATAAAAATTGTTTGAGTTTTCTTATATTTTATCAAAAATCATACTTTTATTTAGTAAACTGTAGTTTTTCTTTAAATATAACTCATGCTATTAAGTTTTATTCCAGGTTTATTTGTCAGTCTTATTCACCTTACTGATAAATTCTGTAATATTTATCAATGGTAAAGTAAATTATTTTTTTAAACATGTAATTGTATTAAATTTATTTACTTTTCATTAAAAGATAGTAATGTTGGGATCAACATGATTTTTATCGGTATGTGGGGCGTGGCTGAGAAAAACTTTATAATAGAAATTATTATAAATAGCATAGCGTTCTCGTTCTAATAGTAAACATTTTTTTAAAAGCATTACCCTTCTCCGCTATGAAAAAATCTGAGCATGCATTAAAGTTTACCCTAAACTAGTTTGATATTAAATGTATGCTTTAATCAGATTTTATTCTGAAAAAAAGCTATGATAAAACGATCACAGGTAAAAATGACTAGTAGAATAGACGAATAGAGAATTTACGATCAAATAAAATTTATTAGACTTTTTCATGAATAGATTCAGGGGACAATAACTCTAGTACTAAATTGTGATGTTTGTTACTAAATATCGTTACTTGCTTAATACCAATACAGAATTTTAACTTGTAAATTTGAAATAAAATGGTATTTAAGCGTTAGTTAAAGATTTATTATAATATTTTTTATTCAAGGGGAATAGATAGAGGCTGAACCCTATGATTATAATTATATAATTATATATTTAAGATATAGTTTGGAGAGATATATTTTTTATTATGAACAACTCCTTCCTTTTTGAAAAAGCTTTAGTACGCCACTTAGTAAACTATATTTTTATATATAAGACATTTATGTAGGCGAGCTTTCTCGAGTCCTTGAGAAATTATTATTTTGCTTATAGGTAGTCCAGTCGAAGTGAATTGCATTAATCCAGAAAATAATGTAAAGAATTGTAAGTAAATAATATGTCTGAAATATAAACATTATTTATAAAGCACTTCACCTATTTTATCTTTTAAAATTTTTTATTAATTACGTGATATTTTTTTAAGTAGATACAGCACTTGTAAGAACTTTAGGACTGAGTGAGTATTACAAATGGGTAGCCCAAAAAAAGTTAGGCGATATATTTTTTAAAGTATATTATATTTTAATTTTACACGTGAAAAAGAGTAAAGGGTAACGATTGGCCTCGTCAATAATATGATAGTTTTAAATATATACTTTGAACATCAACTAAAGCACATTTTGTTTACTGAGAGAAAAATCTAAATTTTAAAATTAGTTGCAATTTTTATTTGATTCATCTATTTATTCTGGAGAACTACGAGAATACTAAGTATAGTTAAAACAAAGTTTTACAATTTTTTTTATTATTAACATTGTACAATATCAGTAATTTATAAAAATAGTATTTGTGTTAAAAATTTAGCGTGAGTTAAATAAGTGAAATTAAACATTTTATCAAAATATTCATTACATAAACTTTTATTAATAATAATTTTCAACAAAATAGAAAAATTAATTTTAAATGAACTAAATTATTTATTGAATGTTTTTTTTTTACATGTTTTATTTTTTCAGACGACAAAGAAAATTGTCCTGTTTGTCTAACTTCTACACCTAGTGTGACACTTATTCCTTGTTGTCATAGTTATTGTAATAAATGTTCTCAAATTTTAAGTGGAAATGATGAGCTATGTCCTTTATGTAGAACCAGAATTATAACGTTTGATGGAATAAGTAAGTACTTGTTCATATACATTTACAAAATACTTGTATTAATTGTTTATGAATTTTTAATGCGTGTTATATAAGAAGTCATACATATTTTATGTTCAGGTTATTTTTATAGACAAAATTAATACTTAAAAATTTTGACGGAAGTACAAAATTTATTTTCAGATGATGTAATAAGAACCCTTTATTAATATAATAAAACAATGTTTAAACAGTTCACTATAAAAAATTTAGTTATAATTATAGTTAAATGATAAATTATTTTTATAGAAAGAACACCTGGTTTAAGTGAGTTATATTTTTTGGGTAATATAAAATAAAGTAATATTATAATTTTTCTTTTATAATTTGTTCTTTTTATGTATTAATATTGTGTATATAAAAAAATAAAATAAATTTATATATTTTTTTTTTACACGACTATTAAAAAAGCTTTTATAGGTTCAGTTTCAGTTCTATAAAAATTTATTTTAAATTACCGGTTCGGATCTAGTTCTTTTATAATTAAATATTCCGGTTTTTGGAAACAGAGGTTCTAGCTCTAATTGATAATAATTAATTTAATTTTAGGGCAAATGCATTCTTAGGGGTTTATCTTAGAATAATATACATTAGAGTATTTTAATACTCTTCCAAAATGCATTTTTACGATATATTTATTTTCGGCATAAGTTGGCTTTTATCCCCAACTCCATGAGGAAGTCTATGTCATAGGTTTTTTTACATCAGGAGTTTTCAAGATAAGAGATTGGATGGACACTGAGCCCTCCAAAAAATCTAGAAAATAATTTTCATTAAAACTTAAAAATATGCTTTTGGGAGAAAAGTAAGTGATATTAAGCGCTATAAAAAAAGCTTATGTCAATAAATTAGTAATCAGAGATAGTAAAAAAAAAAAATGTATTATAAATTTCCCGATGACAAAACCTAGAGAACAACTTTTGATTGAAATCTATAAAAGTTATAGTTTAAATGCGTTAAAAAAAATATGACTTCAAATATTAGACTACCTGATTTCTATTTGATTGAATTTACAAGATGAGCACAAGATTAATTAGTTATAAAATAAATTTTTTTTAAACTTTTAAAATTAATTAGTTATTTTTCAAATTACTTTTTGAATCTAAATTTGTTCAGTTAATTAAATAATAACTATCAAAGTAAAGTTTATAATTTCATTACATTTTTTGCTGCATACAGGATTTTATTAATCCAATAAATATTAAAATGTGTAACTTATGTTTCTTTATTAAAAACAATTTTACTAAGATAGACTGGACAAAATATGCACAACATTGATATAATATATCAAAAATAATCATAAAATATGCATTAATATTATTATTATCTGATTAAAATAATAATTTTTATGGCAGCTCACTTACACTAATATTTGAGAAAAATTCTAAAAATAGCAGTTTGGATAAGGTGTTGATTATGTTATTACGTGAACTTTATTACAAATATTTATTATAGGTGCTAGAATAAATCTGGGCTAAATTAACTTCTTCCTTATCCTAAATAATATATTTATATGCTAATAAATATAATTCTTTGGATTTTTTCGTAAGAGAACGGAGAGTAATTCTAAAACTTTTGGATTAAGCCCCCACAATTGCACTAGTGTTACTTATAAAATAAGAAATAGAATAATTTTCTAAAAAAAGAAACAATAACACACTTAATATGATCCTCAAACTGATTTAAAGAGTAAATAATCTTTTTTTTTGCTAACTTTTTAACTTATTGGTATTGTTTCTATTTAACTTTACTTGAGTTGATTATTTCCATTAACTGTTCCATATTTTTAAATTAATATAAATTACTTTTCGCCTCAAAAGCTATTTAGAATTATAAATAAAAAAAAAAAACAAATTATCAAAAAACAAAAACTTACTGATGAATGTAATTAATTTTAATAAATATATATTAATAATTTTTTGAGTTACCTAACTAATATCTTGATGGTACATTGTAAATCATACGAATAAAAGCCAATAACCATTACAAAAAATGTATTAACTTAAAGGTTTCAGTTCAAGAGTCGTTTTATGAGTTTCTATCCCAATCCCTACTAGAAATATTTATTTACAGTTTTAAATAATAATACTAAATAATTAATGGAAAACTCAAAAAGTTATGATTTTTGTTATTTTAAATATATTGATTAAATATTCATGAAGATGATAAAGAAAACTGTCCATATTGTGGTAATGAAAAACCCAGTGTGACAGCTATGCCTTGTACTCACAGTTTTTGTCAAGTTTGTATAAACATTTTCAAAAGAATTAACACGAAGGCGCCATGTCCTGTTTGTCAAAAGAAAATCGAATATTATGAAGGATTTAGTGAGTATTATAAATGAATAGTAATCATTTTAATAAAATTATATATTTATACTTTAAATGTGTTGTAATTTTTCCGGAATACAAAGTTAAAAATATACGATAATGTTAAAAGTTATATAATAGACTAAATTGACTGAAAATAAAATTTGTAGATGTTTCTCACAAAAAATTTATTTGATTATGGTATTAGTATTTTAAATACAGCAAATAATAAAGAAAAAAAAGTTATTTTTAAAATAATTATTTGCAGACCCAGAGTACAAATCGCCAAAACCAGTTTCGATAGAATTGCTTACAGGTGATTTTAAATTAAATAATAATGACGAAACATTTATATTTTAAATGATTTTATAAGGTATATTTTAACTTAAATTGTTTGTTAAATGAATACAATTGTTAGATAATATTATTTAACAATTAATTGTCTAACATTTTACTTATTGTTGTTGGCGTGCAAGAAGTGACCGAGTGAAAATTCAATTATGTGTTTATAATAAATGGATAATTTATAATTAAATAATTAATGGAAATAATAATTTGATCGTCACAAAACTTATTTTTATAACACATAGAACAATAATAGGGGGCGTCCTTATTAAATATATGTTAAAAAAAATAAACCTATAGAGCTAAGGATTACCCTAATGTACAGTCAGAACTCGACAAAGTAGAGACCATTACAGTTTGAAATATGACAATGATTAAAATTGCTATTACAAAGCGCTACGATACGATAATGGTGTTTAAAGAAAATTCGATTATTTTAATTGTCATTTGTTGTTTATAATTTCAGTATTAATTGAAAATGTATTCTATTATAAACTATTGGTAGGTAAAACATTATTTTTGGAATGGGGAACTCCTCCTTTTAAAATCGAGAGAAATTTTTTCAAATTTTGAGAGCAATGTTTGCAATTAGTTACAATTTATGATCTTTGGATGTATTCAAAAAATGAATATAAATTTAAAATGGTAGTTTTCTATAATTAAAATTATTTAATAAAATTAGTTATTAGTTGGTATTGTATGAGCATGAGAATAATTGAGTTACTATGTATTTATTGAATAAAATGATATGATATAATTTTCTCTCGGGATATGAGTATGAGGGTTTTATGAAAAATGTAAAATATAGAAAAACAAAGTGATGTTTGAAAATTGATTAATATAATAATAATTTGATAGAGAAATTATTGTGATTAATTATCACACATAAATTATCAATAACGCCACTCGTACGAGTTGTGGCGACCCCCGCCACTAACAGCAGCTAGTCATCTTCAGTGTTACCGTTTTTATGTCGCGTGATTATTTTATTGTATTTTGTTAAACATTGTTGGTATTCGTCCTGACGATTATGTAATCGTCCTATCTGTGTGCCTTTTTAAATGTGATTTTTTAAATTAACCGTCTTCCCTGTTCAGCCAGTTAGTTAACGTTCGATCTCCGAGAAATTAGTTAGTCGTGTTACCTTTATATTTTTGTTACCTCACTTCGTTTTGCCGACGAATACGTTTATACTCTTATTTCAATCTGTTAATTATTATTATTTTATGCTAATAAAGCGCCTGTAATGCCTTTGGCATTTTAGTTCGAATTTTCTAGTGTTGTTTTATTCAATAGCGTTAAATATTATAAACAATTACTCTGAAGGACATAACCTCCAAAGAGTAATTATTTAAGCTTGTACTGACTGTGAGTCGTGTCAATACGTGGGTTGGGTTGGGTTAGGTTGGGAGTAGTATAGGAACCACAAGTGGGTTCTCTATCTTCACAAAAGAGTCTTTATTTGTATTTACCACACAGGTAACCCACCAAAAGATTGGACTGAGCTGATTAACTTTATACAAACGTTATCGATTTTTTTATTTATTTAAACAATATTTTACACTTGTTGAAAGTTCATAAAGTCAAAAAGCAATGAATCGAATTGATAGTTTTTGTGTCCTTACATATTAAATTTAATTCATCTATAAGTGCAAGAAGTGACATGAACTTTTACTATTTTTATGTCATAATTATGTTAAATCTCTCTGTATTAATTTATGGATAAATAACATAACAATAGGTATTTAATAATTTAAAATATTTGATTAATTACAGAAATAGCAGAAGAAGATTTTTTGGAACAAGAGCAAAGTAAATCAACATACTTTATTAATTTTTTTCCATAAAATATTTTGACATTCTTCGTAGAACTTAAAAGTGTACAATACACCCTAAATTGGTTATCAAAAGTTATTTTAAAACTAATTATTTTAGTAGTACATGAGCTTAAGTGTTATAATAAGTTGGAAAGGAAAGCATTAGGTAAAAAGTCTTTCCTTTATTCGAATAGTTATTGTCGAATTTCATTTAGTTTCTTTACATTATTTAAATATACATTTTTTTGATAGCATATTTTATATAAAATATTAAATAAAATTTGCTCTATTCTGAAAGGCTGGTTATTATATTAATTCTCTTATAATTACAAGTGAAACATTACAAATTTAGCCCTCAAAATTATTCTAATACTACCTATGTTTAAAATATTATTTTAAATTTAATAAATTATGTATGAATTAAAAACAAATAGATATTGAGCACAATTATTTATTCAACTTGGATGAAAGTGAGTGACGATTATTTTTCATTTACTAAATTTTATAATATATTTAATTTAATTATAAATTTAAAAAATGATTTGGAAAAAAAGCAAAAGTTTGAATTTTAACATACAAATAAATAATTAAATATTATCCAAATTTAAAGCTACGGATGATTTTTTTAATTTTAGCTGCTCAATTACTTTTAAAATAATATTAAATATTATTAATATTATATTAAAAAACCCAGCACAGGGGGGTCGCGGCACAGTGGTAACGTGGCATATTTGGATCAAGTATAATGGTATCTGACAGTGATTAAAATCACTATAAAAAAAAACGCTTCGATGCAAATCTGTAGCTAGTGTTTAATTTTAAAAAAATGATGGATTATTCCAAAAGCTACATGATTTGCTATTGCCTTATTAATATCCTGATTAAGATAAAGTATGTTGAATGAAAAAAAGCATTCGGTAACTATTTTAAAACTAGTTACCGAAAAATAAAATCCGTTTATGATTTAGAAGTTTAATATATGAATAAATAAATAAATATATATATTAATAATATATAAATATAAATAGTACTTATCTCAAAAAAAATATAATAATCAATACATTTTTCAAAAAGTTATAGCATTATAAAGTTATAAATATAAAAAAGAATTTTTTTACAAGAATCGTATTTTTTTATTAACTTTGATATCTGTTTTCACTATGAAGACAAAATAAAGTCCGAATTTTTTTTTTTATAATATTATACATTACATTAGCTTTAATTTAAGATAAATAAAAGTGTCAGACTTTCCGGAACACTTTCAAAAATTAAGTGTAAAAGTAAGTTTTTTGTGAAAACGTTGTAATTTTCAATCCCACTGTGGGCAGATAAAGGGTCAGATTTATAAAAAAAATATTTACTGATCCATATATTTACTAAAAAGTATTATCATTATTAAGTTAAAAATATAAAAAAGAATTATTTTACAAAAATCATAATTTTTTAGCTTCGATGCGAATCTGAGAAGGTATTGGTTTTACTATGATGTATTTTTTATTTTATTTTATTTTTGTGTTTTTTTACCACTTTTTCTCAGTTCTCACCGAATTCTTTCAATGATACGACAAAAGATCACAAATCGTATCTAGTCGAAGACATTACCCTTAAAAATTAAAAAAAATTTCCCTCGTTCCCGTTAAATGGGGGAAACCTCCAAAAAAATTACAAATTTAAAAATCGCTAATTTTCGAAATTTTTTCAATTTTTTTTATTTAAAACTGCCATAACTTTTTCAAAAATGAACAAATCAATAGAATATTTTTCTATAGATGCATGGTGTCCTTACCTATCATTTGGTATATTTTTTTTATAAATCTGTCCCTTTACCTGCCCACAGGGAGGATTTAAAATGACAACTTTTTCACAAGAAATTATTATAATTTTTTAACTGACAGCCAAACTAAATCATCAATCATGATAACTTTCTTAAAAAATAATGTTATTGAAACATTCTTATAATATTAATATTATATTTAATGTTATAATAAAGTTATAAAAATATTTAAAAAGAAAATACGCCTATGATTTATAAATCATACGTGCCTATAGTGTTTTGAACTTGAGGATCCTTAAGCTCCATAGTTAAAAAAAACTTTGTTGCATTGATCCGAATAGTTTACTTAACCTTTTTTTATTTATTTATAAAAATAAATTATAATGAATAACATTATATACATACATTTTTTCCTCTATCACTGTGGTGTTTTAACTATAATTGTCGAATCCAAAACATTATTATGATTAACTTAAACACATATACTACACTAATTACATTGTAAACTCACAATATATACTTATTGAATCATAAATAATTATTACTCCAGTAATTATTTATACAATAACTCAAAAGAATAATTTATTTTTTACTACAATATTTTAAAATGATTATTACAATACATGTATAAATTAAAATGACTAAAATTGATTGAGAAAGCTAATAGGCCAAATACCATGCTATTTCCTCGTATGGGTAATATTAATTTAAATAAAAATTATTTTTAATATACTGAACATTACTTGTATTCTAGTCCTACAAAATATTTATATTGCGTTCTTTAATAAAGAAATATATAAATATTTTATATGTAGTGACTATGGAATGATCGAGAATCTTCGCGACGTATAGGCAACACAAAATGCATATACGCGCGAATGTTCTTGATCACTCCATAAGAGAATCTTTTTGAACTCAACACAATATAAAACGTCGCGACGTAACAATAACATCAATCAGTTAATTATCCAGTCGTCAGTTAATCGGTTAAGTAGTTAAGTACACGTAGTGCATTAATATAATTTTTATATAAATTTTCTTAGCGTTTAAACAATAAACCGTCTACAATTTTTCTGTTATATAAAATAGTGTTTTTATTTATTTTAAATCAATAAGTGAAGGACTAAATTATATAAATTAATAACTCTTTTTTATAAAATATAAATAGCTAGGGGAACCTTTATTTCATGTATATGTCAATAGAGTAGATAGTTTGTAACATGATTAAAAAAAATTAATAAAAAAAAAGTTATCATGTTACATAGCCTTACGTCAATATTAAAAAAACATATTAAGCAACTGAAAATTCAAAAAAAAAAAAAAAATATGATTAATGATTAAGATAATTTATTTATTATATAATGTAGCCCACTGAAACGAATACACAAGTAAAAATATACACGTGTAAAATATAAATACCTGTATACCTATATAAATATATAGTTAAAAATTAAAATTACAAAAAACTAATATTGACTGCCATTTTCTATAGCATAGTTTAATATATAAACATAGTCATTTCGAATAGCTTCTTCAATGGTATATTTACTCCATGGGCAATTATTTTCATGGGCATATTTTAAGCAATAATATTGACCATATATAGCACAAAGCCTAGTTGTGCCTTCGTCCCACTCACATCCATTTTCATGAGCATATTTTAAGCAGTTGAAATTACCATTTGCAGCAGCTCCACTTTTTGTCCCTTCATCCCAATTATAACCATTTTCATGTGCAAATATCAAGCAGTTAATGCAACCACTAGCAGCAGCTTCTCTTGTTGTGCCTTCGTCCCATTCACAACCATTTTCACATGCATACTTTAGACAGTCTGAATGTCCATTTGCAGCAGCCACTCTCGTTGTTCCTTTAACCCAGTCACAACCATGTTCATGAGCATATTTTAAACAATCTAAATTACCAAACATAGCAGCTGTGATTATTGTAAATTCATCCCAAATACACCCATTTTCATGAGCATATCTTAAGCAAACTAAACAACCGCTAGCAGCAGCAACTCTAGTTGTACGTTTATCGCAAACACATCCATTTTCGAAGGCCTAAAATAAACATTTGTAACATCCTCTTTCTGCAGCAGCTCTAGTTGTGCTTTCATCCCATGGACATCTATTTTCGTGTGCATATTTTAAACATTCCAAACTACAATTTTGTGCTGCTGCTTTAGTTGTGTTTACATCCCATGGACATCCATTTTTATGTGCATATTCTAAACATTCTAAATGTCCATTTGCAGCAGCAGATATTGATGTTCTTTCATCCCACGGACATCCATTTTCGTGGGCATATTTTAAACAATCTAAATTACCTTCTAAAGCTGCAGATCTAGTTGTCATAACATTCCATGGGCATCCATTTTCATGTGGATATTTTAAATATTCTAATTGTCCTTTCGCAGCAAAAATGTTTGTTGTACCTTCAAACCAAGGACATCCATTTTCATGAGCATACTTCAAGCATATAATATTACCTTGTGAAGCAGCAGCACTAATTGTGCGGTCATCCCATGGACATCTATTTTCGTGAGCATATTTCAAACAACTTATATATCCCGATGAAGCAGCATAATATGTTATATATTTATTCCATGGACATCCATTTTCATGTGCATATTTTAAACATTCTAAACGTCCATTTTTAGCTGCTTCTTCTGTTGTATTATTATCCCATGGACATTCATTTTCATGAGCATATTTTAAACAATTTAAATGCCCATACTCAGCAGCCGCTTCTGTTGTTGTTTTATCCCATGGGCATCCATTTTCATGAGCATACTTTAGGCAGTCTAAACTGCCACTTGCTGCAGCAGCTCTCGCCGTAAACTTATCCCAACTACAACCCTTTTCGTAAGCATATTTTAAACAATTATAATCACCTCCTCCTGCAGCAGCTCTAAGTGTACCATCATCCCATACACATCCATTTTCATAAGCATATATTAAAATATCTAAATTACCTTTATTAGCTGCTTCAATTGTCGTTCCTTCATCCCATTGACATCCATTTTTATGGGCATATATTAAACAATCTGAATAATTATTTATAGCAGAAACTAATATTGTGCCTTCACTCCAAAGACACCCATTTTCGTGAGCATATTTTAAGCATTCTAAATGCCCCTTTGAAGCAGTAATTCTTGTTGTATCTTTGTGCAATGGACAGCCATTTTAATGAGCATATTTTAAAATTTCTAAATACCCATTTACTGCAGCGTCCCATGTTGTGTCTATATGCAATTGACAGCCATTCTCATGAGAATATTTTAAGCATTCTAAATGCCCATTTAAGGCAGCGTACATTGTTGTGCCTGAATGCCATGGGCAGCCATTTTCATAAGCATATTTTAAGCATTCTAAATGTCCATTTGCAGCAGCGTACATTGTTGTGTCTGTATGCCAATTACAACCATTTTCGTGTGCATATTTTAAGTATTCTAAATATCCCTTTTCAGCAGCAATTTTTGTTATTTCATCATTCCATCTACATCCATTTACATTAGCATAAAGTAAGCATTCCATATTGTCCCAATATACAGCTGCTTATGTCGTAGTTTCATCCCATGGACAATTATTTTCATGTGCATATATTAAACATTCTATATGCCCATTTGAAGCAGCAACTCTTGTTGTATGTTCATCCCATAGACATCCATTTTCATGAGAATATTTTAAACATTCTAAATGTCCATTTTCAGCAGCAGCTCTCGTTGTATTGACATCCCATGGACATTCATTTTGATGAGCATATTTTAAGCATTCTAAATGACCATTTGCAGCAGCGTCAACGGTTGTGTCAGTATGCCATGGACAGCCATTTTCATGAGCATATTTTAAACATTCTAAATGTCCATTTGCAGCAGCAGATCTTGTTGTATCGTTATGCCATGGACAGCCATTTTCATGAGTATATTTTAAACATTCTAAATACCCATTTGTAGCAGCAATCCATATTGTATCTTCATAAAAATTATATCCATTTTCATGAGCATATTTTAAAACATCTAAATTACCTTTATTAGCTGCTTCAATTGTAGTTCCTTCATCCCATTGACATCCATTTTTATGGGCATATATTAAACAATCTGGATAATTATTTATAGCAGAAACTAATATAGTGCCTTCACTCCAAAGACACCCATTTTCGTGAGCATATATTAAACATTCTAAATGTCCATTTACAGCAGCAGTTCTTGTTGTATCGTTATGCCATGGACATCCATTTTCGTGTGCATATTTTAATTGTTTTAACTGACCAATTTCAGCTGCTAACTTTGTTACTTCATTATGCCATTTACATCCATGTACATTAGCATATATTAAGCATTCCATATTATCATAATCTACAGCTGCATATGTCGTAGATTCATCCCATGGACAACTATTTTCGTGAGCATATTTTAAGCATTCTAAATACCCATTAGCAGCAGCAACCCTTGTTGTATTTTCATCCCATGGGCATCCATTTTCGTGAGCATATTTTAAACATTCTATATGTCCATTTTCAGCAGCGACCTTGGTTGTTTTGTCATCACATGGACATTCATTTTCATGTGCATATTTTAAACACATTAAATGTCCATTTGCAGCAGCGTCTTTTGTTGTGTCTTCATCCCAATTACAACTATTTTCGTGAGCATATTTTAAGCATTCTAAATGACCATTTGCGGCAGCAAGTCTTGTAGTATTTTCATCCCATGTACATCCATTTTCGCGAACATATTTTAAGCATTTTAAGCTACCATTTTAAGCAGCTGCTTCTGTTGTTGTTTTATCCCATGGACATTCATTTTCATGAGCATACTTTAGGCAGTCTAAACTGCCACTTGCTGCAGCAGCTCTAGTTGTAGACTCGTCCCAATTATAACCACATTCGTGGGCATATTTTAAAATATCAAAAAAACCTCTTGCTGCAGCAGATCTTGTTGTACCATCATCCCATTCACACCCGTTTTCGTGAGCATATTTTAAAATATCAATATTACCTTTGTTAGCTGCTTCAATTGTCGTTCCTTTATCCCATTTACATTCATTTTTATGCGCATATAATAAACAATCTAATTTATCATTTATAGCAGTAGCTAAAATTGTGCCTTCACTCCAAGGACATCCATTTTCATGAGCATATTTTAAGCATTCTAAATGTCCATTTGCAGCAGCAATTCTTGTTGTATCTACATCCCAATCACATCCATTTGCCTTTACATATTTTAAATATTTTAAATGCCTTTTATCTGTAGCTTCTGTAATCGTATGTTTATCCTTCTGACATCCATTTTCGTGAGCTAAATATAATGGTTCTAAGTTGCAATTTGAATCTGTTAATACTGTATTTTTATTTTCATATTGGCATATTTTTTCGTCATCTGAATTTCTATTTTCATTTGCTAAATGAGAGTAATAATTAATTAATTTTAGCTATTTTAATTTTTTTTCAATTATACTAATATAATAAAGAAAGTAAAATATTTCTTTCCAAAATTTCTAAAAAATGACTTGTTGTTTTAGTTTACATTTTATTCTATCATTAAGTATTCCTCATCATCTCCCTTTTTGGATACTTAAAGTACCAAATTTATTATAACTTCAAACCCCATATACTTAAAAAACGTGCTTTACCAAAGATACATAAGCTACGATTTATATGAGATTTATAATTTCATCTATAAATAGATATTTTTACCTTTCATTTGGTATATTTTTTTCATAAATCTGACCCTTTACCTACCTACAGGGGGGGAATCAAAATGACAACTTTTTTACAAAAAATTTACTTTTTCAACTTAAATTTTGAAAGTGTTCCGGAAAGTCTGATACTTTTATATATATCTTAAATTAAAGCTAATGTAATCTACTTTATTATGCAAAAAAAAAAATTTCGGACTTTATTTTATCTTCACGAAGAAAATGGCTACCGAATGCTATTATTGTGTGAAAATTCTCGATTTTATTTTTTACATTTTTAACTTTATAATGCTATGACATATTGAAAAGTGTATGGATCAACATAATTCTTTTATGAGAAATAATATTTTTTAATAATCCCTTTTTCATTCGATATACTTTACCTTAATTAGGATATTAATAATGAACTTGCAGATCATGTAGCTTTTGGAATAATCCACCAATTTTTTAAAATTAAACACTATCTAAAGATTTGCATCGAAGCGTTTTTTTTTATAGTGATTTTAATCACTGTCAGATATCATTATACTTGATCCAACTATGTCATGTCACCACTGTGCCGCGACCACCTGTGCTGGTTTTTTTTTTTATGTCTCTTCTTCTTTTCTGACTATTTTATGTAAAAAATGTTAAAAACAGCCAGAATATTAAAAAACACATAGATTATTCAATATTCACTTGATTGAATTAAAATTAATTATATCGTCTATTTATAATAAATAGCAAAAGGAGGAAGCTTGTTTATTAACCCAGTGAAAATTTTGAATTTCATATTGTCTACAAAATTATAATTTTGCTTGCTAAAGTTTCAATTTTACGATGAAAATATTAAAGGGATAAAATACATAAATATACCCATCTCAGAAGTACAACAAAACGAAAAACACCTAATATGAGATTTAAATTTTGTAAAACTATCTCGGGAACAGGGAAAACGCAGATTTATAACAATTAATAACAGTACCATAAGAAGCCTTAAGATATCATTAACTGATATTTATGAAGATACAATGTTCTACTACTACTAGAATAAAACCATGATTATTTATTAAAATATTATACAATATTATCATAATAATTTAATTAATACATTTTTTCGTTTGCAACTAAAGTAATGAATTGAATAATTATAACATATATAGCGCTCAAAAGTATTTTGACCATCAGTTTAGACCACTAAAGGGCGTGGACCTGTAAGACAGTAAGTAGCCGATCATTTTCTAGTGAAAAGTGCAGCAGTCTACAGCTGTTATCCTTTGGAAAAGAAGCTGACAACGTAGGCATAAATAAAAAAGTCTGTTTTTTTACTTAAAGGCTAAGTCTAAAATTTTAATTCGATTAAGTCAATATTGAATAATTTGTGTGTTTTTTAACATTGTGTTAAAATATAAATATTATAGCATTAGTAATGGTAGGGAGTTACTTAATAATTTATTACCACAAAGAGTAAATATTTAAAAACAAATATAAATAACTTAATAAATGAATACTTATCGATTATGGACGGCTTCTATTTCTGGCGATGTATATTAAACATCGAGAAGGATATTATGCAGTTATATACCCAAGAGGAGCATACGAATCGTAGAGCAGTTTATACTATTTATACAATGAATCACAATTGTCAATGATACTATTATGGGTCAACAGGTATCATAGAATTGTTAGCAATTGGTAAGCTACTAATGGTGGCAAAATAATTCATTAATATGAATAAAAATATATGGTGAACCCAATATTTTTTACTAGGATTTTATGATTTTTAATAAGAAATGTACAAAATTTGAGATGTTCCATCAAGTTTAACTATTTTTATGTTGAGTTTGAGTGTGTTGTCTCATAAATAAAGCTATATTTTCGTGTATACTTTTTTTGTTGGTTTAACTTACAATTATAAAACATTAAAAGTCAATTAAAAATTTTTATAATAATTATAAAATCATTATAGGAAAATTTAAAAAAAATTCTTTTTTTATTTCTATGTTTTACATCTTTTCATAAAACCCTCGTACTCAAAACATAAGAAAAAATTATATTATATCATTTTATTTAATGAATACATAGTAACACAATCATCCTCATGTTCAGACCCCAAACCCAATATAATTTATATTTTTGAGTTGCTATATCATAAAATTGCAATAAGTAATTGAAATAAATATTTCATAGTGTATAATATAGTAGTAATACTTCGTACGTTGATATTGTGTTATATCATAATAGTGTGTACTGCAAAACTACTATTACAATACTAATAAATTGATAAGTTTCAGAACAACGGAAAATAAATGTTAGCAAAATTAAACTGCTGTTATCACAACTTTCTAACTGATATCTTTTTATGACTGTTACACTTGAAAATACTAAAATTATCCTACATTTTGGCGCAATTTGCCAACTCCAAGAACTCCACAACATGTTTACTTTTTGTAACGCAAATATGAACTGGATCTGATTTTTATAAATAAGATGACTTTAGAAAATATGTAAATTTACAGGTATTCAATGGATAAACTCTGCTTCGAGTATTATATTATGGTCATGACCGCTCCGCTTTTTTTTATATAACTTCGCGCCACTGCTATCGCACTTAGTTTTTAAGTTAATGTCTATACAGAAGAAATGAACAGTTGACATAGTGACAACTCTAATAAAAACTGTTGGAAAAACTAAATGATCAGTTCGGTTAACCAAGTGTTCAGTTATTCTGACTGTCTTAATTGTAGTTGTATTTTTTCCTTGAATGCATGGTGGCATTTAAGGAGCTCCAACGAGTTAAATATTTAATATCGTAAAAATAGTATTTAAAAATAAAATGTTCACAAACTGAAAATTAATAAAACAACTGTTTACCAAATTTATTCTTAAAATCTACTCTACAAAATGGCTGTATTGAAATTTGTTTTTCGCAATTTTAATGAAAACAATTTTTTTTTTAATAAGTTGAGAAACTATTATTAATTGTAACATTTTAATAATTCCAAAGTAAAAAAATTATAAAAAAAAAATTAACGCAATATATTAATTAGATGATCAGAAGTTCTTAGTTTTGTTAGAACTTAACCGATTATTCTGTAAAACTAAAAGAATATCATTATAGCTAATTTTATACGTTTCATACTTGCCTCATTTAAAAAAAATACAAGAATTGATGTGGATTATTAATTAAATTATGAGCATAGATAATATAATATAGAATTTACCTTTGTTAAATATTAAACAGGAAATTATCAACAAAAAAGTTATCAATTGCCAGTTCTAGAATAAAATAAAACAATTTTTTAGTTTTCAATCAAACACTTCATTTAAAGTATATTACTCACCTTCATTTTTACTCTAAGAGTTTATATTAATAATAATATGTTATTATTATTTTGAATACCTTATGAACATTTTTCGATTAAATTGGTGTATATTTAACATATAAGCAATCACCAACATAATTTATTATTATTTTTAAATTTAAAAAGAGTATCTTAAGTAAATAATAAGTGTCTGTATGTAGGGTATGTAGTATGAATAGATACAGCTATATGTCTATTCTTAAATTTACTCCCAAAATTAAAATTCATATTTCTCCTTCCCCTCTTAATTTATATATATTTAAATTAGCTTATAGTTTAAAACAGCGTGTTCATACATTTTTTGTTGGATAGAATTCGAAAGTAAAGCCTAGTCTCACTGGCGTTCAAGATGTCTTGTTCCACAAAATTTTCAATTACGTTTGGTAATTTAGTATTCTAATTATCAACTGCTGATGATTCTTCACAAATTTATTTTTATAGAATGTTATCCCTTTTAATTTTATCGAGCCACTCATTTGAAGTTTTGCAGTCATTCAATCCATAAACTCCAGCGACCTATTTAGCCTTTTCCTGTATCGTTGTAAGAGGCGAATATTTTTCTTGAACATTGCTAAGCAATACCAAAAGTTCTTTATCAATTATATTGCCTTAAGTTCTCTTAATTTTGATAACTTACGTTTATAATTTCAATTACCAACCCACACTTTACAAATTTATTTTTATAATACATGTTAGTGCGCAATTTATGTATTACCAACTTGAATTTTTTTCGTAAGTATACAAACTTCTTAATTTTTCTTATTTTGACGAAAAACTATTATTTTAATTTTTTTGGGAATCTACAGTTTTTATTTTAACGTCAATGAATTTGAAGTATTAATAACCGATACTAATTAACACAATACACTAAATATTGGAATATAAGCTATTGATATTTTCGTCATAATGGTTATTATTTTGTTATATTATCTTATTATCCTATAACGAAATTAATTTACTTTGGAAAATAAGTTCGTTGAGGTTATATTAGTGAGAGCGCGTTTATTATTATTATTTATAAAACTTAGACAAAAAAAGCGGTAGCATTCTGTGACTGATTCATAGATGGGGCAAGTATAGATGATATCTGACAGTGATTAAAGTCACTATCATAAGGAACGCTTCGATACAAATCTGTAACTAGTGTTTAATTCTAATAAATTGGTGGATAATTACAAAAGTAACATTAACTCCTATTTTCTTGATTATATTCTGATTAGTGATTTAAAAACATAATATATGAATAAGCAATTTTTGTTAACACAAAATAAACTTACCCAGACCAATGAATACAACTAAATAATTAAATACGAACAATTGTACCTACCATTATTGAACCTAATAATCCATAAATATAATACTCCATACTACTTACATGCAGTTATGCTCTATATGAATAAAGTGAATTACAATTTATAACAGTAAGACAATATCTGTAGTTTCACTGCAACAATGCACCAGCCAATATAAAAGAAAAAATTGAAAAATGAAAACAACTATATGTTCTCAAAATAATAATATGAATAATGTATTTTAAAACGAAACTTGAACAAAGTTTTTACTGATTCATACAAAAACAACAATTAATTCAAATAAAAACCAACGTAACTTAAACTAAACTGTATAACACTACAACAGGTACATACATTTCTTTTTTGAATAAAACAACTAAACAATACAGGCCGCTGATAAGGTGTCCTAACAGCTGATGACGCACAAGCACTACCAGCTGACCACAACTAACCAGTGCAGCTCTCACGCTTGGCGCGAACAATATTTTTGACAAATCTTTTATATTATGCCTCAATTTCATTAATAAAACCACCCGTTTGTTTATAATCTACCTGTTTTCTTCTCTCCAATAATATGCATAACATATCATTTTGCACAAATGGCTCAAACTCTTCTCTAAATATTATTTTTAATTCTTTCCATAGTAAATTTTTAGATTCAATGTTATCATAAATCTTAATGCAGGACCTTGCAAAAAAGCCACTAAATATTGCGATTTATTTATTTCTGACAAGTTATTATTTAACGCTGCTCTATTAAATAATTTAAAAAATAAATCTAGGCGTTCATTTATTACACCAGAAAAGGAAGTTAGTTAGAAAAATAAATTTTTATTCTTATTGATAAAAGTAATTATTTGAGATAGAAGTATATTTTGATCAGTATCGTTTTTTCTATTATTTGTAATTTATTTTTAAGTACCGATAATTCCGAAATTTCAGTTTTCGAATTCTTTTATGAGTTTGGATTTTAAAGAATAATTTACCCACTATAGTTTTTTTTCATATTCCTCTGTCAAACTTTCTACGGCAATAGAGTTTATTTCTTCTTTCATAACTTTCAAAATTCACTTTTAGTTTCAATTACAAAGCTGAGAAAGTATTAATTTTACTATGATGTGTTTTTTTTATTTATTTTTTTAAATAAACGCTCAATCTCAGCTCTCGCTGGACCGATATGAAAAAAATACGTCAAAAGATCACAAAACGTATCTAGTCAAAGTCATTAACTCATAAAATAAAAAAAATTCTCTCATTCCCCGTAAATAGGAGAAACCTACAAAAAAATTACTAGTTTAAAAATCGCTAATTTTCGAAATTTTTTCAATTTTTTTTATTTAAAACTGCCATAACTTTTTCAAAAATGAACAAATCAATAGAATATTTTTCTATAGATGCATGGTGTCCTTACCTATCATATGGTATATTTTTTTTATAAATTTGACCCTTTACCTGCCTATAGGGAGGGGGTATTAAAAATGACAAATTTTTCATAAAAAAGTAACTTTTTCAACTTAACTTTTGAAAGTGTTCCGGAAGGTCTGACACTTTTATATATATCTTAAATTAAAGCTAATGTAATGTGCTTTATTATAAAATATTTTCATAACTTTATTATGACATTAAATATAATATTAATATTATAAGAATATTTCAATAACATTATTTTTTAAGAAAGTTATCATGATTGATGATTTAGTTTGGCTGTGATTTAAAAAATTATAATAATTTTTTGTGAAAAAGTTGTCATTTTAAATCCTCCCCTGTGGACAGGTAAAGAGACAGATTTATAAAAAAAATATACCAAATGATAGTTAAGAACACCATGCATCTATAGAAAAATATTCTATTGATTTGTTCATTTTTGAAAAAGTTATGGCAGTTTTAAATAAAAAAAATTGAAAAAATTTCGAAAATTAGCGATTTTTAAACTAGTAATTTTTTTGTAGGTTTCTCCTATTTACGGGGAACGAAGGAAATTTATTCAATTTTTGAGGGTAATCATTTTTGAGGACTAGTTACGATTTGTGATCTTTTAATGTATCATTGAAAAAAATCGGTTCAGTGAGAGCTGAGAAAAAGTGGTAACAAACACAAAAAAAAAACACATCATAGTAAAACCAATACCTTCTTAGAATTGCATCGAAGTTAAAAATTATTTTTGGTCTATATTAATTTGATATAATTTTTGATATATCACATATATCTTTTTTATTAATACCTTATTAACTTGATTTTGTAAAATACCAAATACTCATTAACAAATCTATAAAATTAAAAATTAAAAAATTAGAATGCATTTTTATTTTGTCAGTAATTAATTGAATAATAATTTTCCAAGTTTATACTCAAGAGTTGTTACCGACCAGTCATTTTATATTTTATAAACTAGTAAAATATGCATTTTGCCATTAAAAAATTTAACATCCTATAAAAGGGATGAAATAAAAAATGATTTAATAACTGATTAATTGAGAAATAAATAAAACTCAAAATACCCAAAATAACTTTCTCAACATTTTAAGAGAAATTAAGTAGCTCAAGTTAAAAAAAGCTGCTTGATAATTTTGCATTAAAAATGTCTGTAATATATTGTATTATATTTTTAAAAATGTATTCAATATTTGTAGACATAGAAAATTTGGATGAGGAAGTTTTGTCATCTGTAAATAGTAAGTGTACACACAATATTTTATAGTCCTTTGTTTAATAACACTAGTTATGTCACACGTACTTGGTATGCTAAAACATTGTTAGATAATTGCCGTCTACATTATTAAACTACAGTTGTTATATTATAACTGTTATTATAATAAATGTTTATATTCAGAAAAAATTTAATGAACAAGAGAATATATTTTATATTTGTTTGATGCGTTCAAAATTTTCCGAATTAAAGTCATTTTTTTATACCATTACGTAAACATTAAAAACAAATAAATAATGTATACTATTATCATGAAACATAATGAATACTATTCAATTATAATATAAATAGTTAAATTAATTTTATGTAAAGAGATATTATGGCTAATATTATTTAAAATTAAAAATATATTTAAAATAATTTACCTGTATACAGTTTATAGTGAGATATTAAAGATATTATGGTTTTTTGATATAATCTTAGTATATGTAAATGCTAGATATAATTAATATCTAACATTTTAAATGTTAGATATAAATATATATGTAAATGTTAGATATAATGAATATCTAACATTCACAGCAATTCAATTTAAAAATAAATAAATAAAATTATGATGCAAGTCTAAATTATGCGTTTAATTTGATCAGATTTTTGCAAAATATGTCAAATTAATAAAAAGAATAAGTCGTTTTTACCTTGTAATCACAATGCATGTGATTCATGTTCAGAAGACATTAAACGCTTGGGAATGGTATGCCCATTTTGTGAAGAAAATGTCATTCAAATTTTGGATTTAAGTAAGAACTTAATTTAAAATTGTGATATTATAAAGGTATGCAAAAAATTAGATAAAAAAAATCTTATTTTATTTTTATCCCATAATTCAAAAATTATCATATAAAATGTTAAAAAATTAGATATGTATGAAAGTGAAAGAGTACTCTGCTAAGCATATATACTTGGGGCCTCTCAAAGTTAATGTTTTGTCATTGTTAACATATATATTGTTAACATATATATATATACAACTATAATAAGAATTCATCATTGGTAACCATTCTTATTTTAAATCAATAATATCAATTAAAAACTAAAAAATATTTAACTCTAAAGCCATAAAAATTACTAAAAAAATCGGTTATAAGTATTTTGGTAACAAAGTTAATATTAACAATGCTAAATACATACTAACATCTGACTGAAAAATACTCCCTTATATACCTCCAATGATCATGTTACCTGACCATTTGTTATACTTTGCCAGTTTACACAAGTTTAATAGTAAATTTTTCAGTGAGTCAAGATTCCAATTAATTAAATTATTCTTTAAAATTTCTATCGTATCTCTTATATTAAGTTCTTTGTAATTATTTACGTTTTTAATTTATGGATTTAATGGAGTGATTATGTGTCAAAAAAAGTTCATCAACAGGAGATCTATTTACTTCTTGATTTTTAATATTTCTTAAATGTTATAAAATTGTTTGTTTTTGTTTGTCCTGGGTAACATTTATTACAACTTTCACAATATATCTTATAAAATACAATTCATATATATATAATTAATAAATATGTACACGATAGCATTTTCCAAATTTTTTTTCTACGTTTGAAAACTGCAAAACCTTTTNTTTTTTTTATCTAATTTTTTGCATACCTTTATAATATCACAATTTTAAATTAAGTTCTTACTTAAATCCAAAATTTGAATGACATTTTCTTCACAAAATGGGCATACCATTCCCAAGCGTTTAATGTCTTCTGAACATGAATCACATGCATTGTGATTACAAGGTAAAAACGACTTATTCTTTTTATTAATTTGACATATTTTGCAAAAATCTGATCAAATTAAACGCATAATTTAGACTTGCATCATAATTTTATTTATTTATTTTTAAATTGAATTGCTGTGAATGTTAGATATTCATTATATCTAACATTTACATATATATTTATATCTAACATTTAAAATGTTAGATATTAATTATATCTAGCATTTACATATACTAAGATTATATCAAAAAACCATAATATCTTTAATATCTCACTATAAACTGTATACAGGTAAATTATTTTAAATATATTTTTAATTTTAAATAATATTAGCCATAATATCTCTTTACATAAAATTAATTTAACTATTTATATTATAATTGAATAGTATTCATTATGTTTCATGATAATAGTATACATTATTTATTTGTTTTTAATGTTTACGTAATGGTATAAAAAAATGACTTTAATTCGGAAAATTTTGAACGCATCAAACAAATATAAAATATATTCTCTTGTTCATTAAATTTTTTCTGAATATAAACATTTATTATAATAACAGTTATAATATAACAACTGTAGTTTAATAATGTAGACGGCAATTATCTAACAATGTTTTAGCATACCAAGTACGTGTGACATAACTAGTGTTATTAAACAAAGGACTATAAAATATTGTGTGTACACTTACTATTTACAGATGACAAAACTTCCTCATCCAAATTTTCTATGTCTACAAATATTGAATACATTTTTAAAAATATAATACAATATATTACAGACATTTTTAATGCAAAATTATCAAGCAGCTTTTTTTAACTTGAGCTACTTAATTTCTCTTAAAATGTTGAGAAAGTTATTTTGGGTATTTTGAGTTTTATTTATTTCTCAATTAATCAGTTATTAAATCATTTTTTATTTCATCCCTTTTATAGGATGTTAAATTTTTTAATGGCAAAATGCATATTTTACTAGTTTATAAAATATAAAATGACTGGTCGGTAACAACTCTTGAGTATAAACTTGGAAAATTATTATTCAATTAATTACTGACAAAATAAAAATGCATTCTAATTTTTTAATTTTTAATTTTATAGATTTGTTAATGAGTATTTGGTATTTTACAAAATCAAGTTAATAAGGTATTAATAAAAAAGATATATGTGATATATCAAAAATTATATCAAATTAATATAGACCAAAAATAATTTTTAACTTCGATGCAATTCTAAGAAGGTATTGGTTTTACTATGATGTGTTTTTTTTTTGTGTTTGTTACCACTTTTTCTCAGCTCTCACTGAACCGATTTTTTTCAATGATACATTAAAAGATCACAAATCGTAACTAGTCCTCAAAAATGATTACCCTCAAAAATTGAATAAATTTCCTTCGTTCCCCGTAAATAGGAGAAACCTACAAAAAAATTACTAGTTTAAAAATCGCTAATTTTCGAAATTTTTTCAATTTTTTTTATTTAAAACTGCCATAACTTTTTCAAAAATGAACAAATCAATAGAATATTTTTCTATAGATGCATGGTGTCCTTACCTATCATATGGTATATTTTTTTTATAAATTTGACCCTTTACCTGCCTATAGGGAGGGGGTATTAAAAATGACAAATTTTTCATAAAAAAGTTACTTTTTCAACTTAACTTTTGAAAGTGTTCCGGAAGGTCTGACACTTTTATATATATCTTAAATTAAAGCTAATGTAATGTGCTTTATTATAAAATATTTTCATAACTTTATTATGACATTAAATATAATATTAATATTATAAGAATATTTCAATAACATTATTTTTTAAGAAAGTTATCATGATTGATGATTTAGTTTGGCTGTGATTTAAAAAATTATAATAATTTTTTGTGAAAAAGTTGTCATTTTAAATCCTCCCCTGTGGACAGGTAAAGAGACAGATTTATAAAAAAAATATACCAAATGATAGTTAAGAACACCATGCATCTATAGAAAAATATTCTATTGATTTGTTCATTTTTGAAAAAGTTATGGCAGTTTTAAATAAAAAAAATTGAAAAAATTTCGAAAATTAGCGATTTTTAAACTAGTAATTTTTTTGTAGGTTTCTCCTATTTACGGGGAACGAAGGAAATTTATTCAATTTTTGAGGGTAATCATTTTTGAGGACTAGTTACGATTTGTGATCTTTTAATGTATCATTGAAAAAAATCGGTTCAGTGAGAGCTGAGAAAAAGTGGTAACAAACACAAAAAAAAAACACATCATAGTAAAACCAATACCTTCTTAGAATTGCATCGAAGTTAAAAATTATTTTTGGTCTATATTAATTTGATATAATTTTTGATATATCACATATATCTTTTTTATTAATACCTTATTAACTTGATTTTGTAAAATACCAAATACTCATTAACAAATCTATAAAATTAAAAATTAAAAAATTAGAATGCATTTTTATTTTGTCAGTAATTAATTGAATAATAATTTTCCAAGTTTATACTCAAGAGTTGTTACCGACCAGTCATTTTATATTTTATAAACTAGTAAAATATGCATTTTGCCATTAAAAAATTTAACATCCTATAAAAGGGATGAAATAAAAAATGATTTAATAACTGATTAATTGAGAAATAAATAAAACTCAAAATACCCAAAATAACTTTCTCAACATTTTAAGAGAAATTAAGTAGCTCAAGTTAAAAAAAGCTGCTTGATAATTTTGCATTAAAAATGTCTGTAATATATTGTATTATATTTTTAAAAATGTATTCAATATTTGTAGACATAGAAAATTTGGATGAGGAAGTTTTGTCATCTGTAAATAGTAAGTGTACACACAATATTTTATAGTCCTTTGTTTAATAACACTAGTTATGTCACACGTACTTGGTATGCTAAAACATTGTTAGATAATTGCCGTCTACATTATTAAACTACAGTTGTTATATTATAACTGTTATTATAATAAATGTTTATATTCAGAAAAAATTTAATGAACAAGAGAATATATTTTATATTTGTTTGATGCGTTCAAAATTTTCCGAATTAAAGTCATTTTTTTATACCATTACGTAAACATTAAAAACAAATAAATAATGTATACTATTATCATGAAACATAATGAATACTATTCAATTATAATATAAATAGTTAAATTAATTTTATGTAAAGAGATATTATGGCTAATATTATTTAAAATTAAAAATATATTTAAAATAATTTACCTGTATACAGTTTATAGTGAGATATTAAAGATATTATGGTTTTTTGATATAATCTTAGTATATGTAAATGCTAGATATAATTAATATCTAACATTTTAAATGTTAGATATAAATATATATGTAAATGTTAGATATAATGAATATCTAACATTCACAGCAATTCAATTTAAAAATAAATAAATAAAATTATGATGCAAGTCTAAATTATGCGTTTAATTTGATCAGATTTTTGCAAAATATGTCAAATTAATAAAAACAATAAGTCGTTTTTACCTTGTAATCACAATGCATGTGATTCATGTTCAGAAGACATTAAACGCTTGGGAATGGTATGCCCATTTTGTGAAGAAAATGTCATTCAAATTTTGGATTTAAGTAAGAACTTAATTTAAAATTGTGATATTATAAAGGTATGCAAAAAATTAGATAAAAAAAATCTTATTTTATTTTTATCCCATAATTCAAAAATTATCATATAAAATGTTAAAAAATTAGATATGTATGAAAGTGAAAGAGTACTCTGCTAAGCATATATACTTGGGGCCTCTCAAAGTTAATGTTTTGTCATTGTTAACATATATATTGTTAACATATATATATATACAACTATAATAAGAATTCATCATTGGTAACCATTCTTATTTTAAATCAATAATATCAATTAAAAACTAAAAAATATTTAACTCTAAAGCCATAAAAATTACTAAAAAAATCGGTTATAAGTATTTTGGTAACAAAGTTAATATTAACAATGCTAAATACATACTAACATCTGACTGAAAAATACTCCCTTATATACCTCCAATGATCATGTTACCTGACCATTTGTTATACTTTGCCAGTTTACACAAGTTTAATAGTAAATTTTTCAGTGAGTCAAGATTCCAATTAATTAAATTATTCTTTAAAATTTCTATCGTATCTCTTATATTAAGTTCTTTGTAATTATTTACGTTTTTAATTTATGGATTTAATGGAGTGATTATGTGTCAAAAAAAGTTCATCAACAGAAGATCTATTTACTTCTTGATTTTTAATATTTCTTAAATGTTATAAAATTGTTTGTTTTTGTTTGTCCTGGGTAACATTTATTACAACTTTCACAATATATCTTATAAAATACAATTCATATATATATAATTAATAAATATGTACACGATAGCATTTTCCAAATTTTTTTTCTACGTTTGAAAACTGCAAAACCTTTTTCTAAATACACTCATTCATTATAATAAAATTTATATTAGTATTACTAGAGACAACAAACCTTTTAATATTCTTTTTATGAAAACAAAATTAAAAATCTAAAGTACAGAAAGCAAGGCCGTATCAAGAATATTTTTTCGGTAGAGATCATGTCCTCCTAACCTGACCAACCGCTCAAACTCAACTCAACCGAACGCCCTTACGATATATTTTAATGAGCTTTTTATTTTGAAACTCAAAATCGCTTATGACCTAAGCGTAAGGGTTTGAAATATATCACCCTCGAATTAAAATTTTTTTTTCCAACTCAATTTTTGAAAATGTTTCGGAAGAAAAATTTAACTTGTATCAAATAAAAACTTTTAAAGTGTATTACAATATTCAACCCACTATTGTTTTTCTATGTGAAATTGGCTGTTAAACCAAAAAAAAAGGCAATTTAAAAAAAAAATACTTTATCTTGAATTAAGCAAATAATTTGACAATAATTTAATATTTGAAACTTTAAATCATAAAAACTATAAAATTACAAATATACAGAATATTGTGAAATTTAATGGATTCACATTAATGTGTTTTTTATGATAATGATGTAAAACACTGTAATATATTATTTGTACTTGTTCTAAATATGCCGCGAATCAACTGTACTGGGTTATTTTTCACTCTAAAATTTTTTCGTTGATATTTGAGATTGTTGTCAGAGATTCGAACTGAATAACCTCCAAATCAATAAATATCTGTAAAACCTTTATTTTTATTAAAATTGAAAACCAAAAAACCTAAAATCTTTATTAATTAATTGGGTTTAATCGAAACAAAATTAAAATTTAGATAATTGATGAAACAAGGGAACAGACTGTATTACTTCAAATTTTAAGTTATTTGCGTAAAATAAATTACAGTAAAAATTTAGATGAATATTAAAAAATAAAAAAATAAATCTGTGTACAAAATGTTTAGATAAATTTTATGTTGAAATAAAAGTTTGTATAAATAATTTCTTTTGTGAGCAAACTACGGTACAAAATGATACACACTTTTATTATTTTAACTATTACTATTTAGGAATTTTTCTATATCTGTCAATATATTTATTATTAAATTCTTCGCCGAATTTCTTTAATTACATAAATTAAGAAAGTCTAGAGAAGTACTTTCTAAAAGTTTTTAATATTTTTTTCACTGGTTCATAGATATGATTTGCCGTCTATAATTTTATTTTATGCATGACATAAATTATTAAATATATACTAATAGTCCATCAAACAATGATGAAATCAAAAAGTATAAAATTTACCTTAGTCGACTAAATGAACTTAGTAATCCTCCCTCCGTAAAATGAATTTGTAACACCTCCGCAAATACTTGAAAAATGTTATTTTTAATATTACACTCAAAGACTATCAAAATTGAAATATAATAATATAATTAATCAACTTCGATTCTGTTTTCTTGTAAATTAACGAAATATTCCTGAATAAGATTAATATTATTAGTCAGACTAGTAACGTTGAATTCATAAAAATAGTTGGATTTACAATGCTAATTAAGTAGATAAAGTACTTTCATATTATCATTTTTAATTTTTATTTTAAGACATTTCAGTGTTTTTACAAATATAATGGAACATTCATTGTATATTGTATAAATATGTTTTTTTTTAACCATAAAATACTTAAATTAATTATTCTAATTTAACTCTTTTGTCTATTTATAGTATACGTTAAAAGATATGATTTATATACTTTAGTTAATATTTTTCGTAGGGAAGTGTTGGGAAAAGATAACCAAAAAATCATTTAGATGAGACAAAAAGAGTTTAATAGTTTTTACCATTATATATTTGTTCGGTCGTGTCGAAGCAGTGCAGTGTTGGTCTACTTTTCCTCGTCTAGAGCGCGACCTGCCACAACTGGTTTTGCTGTTGGGGTAGTGTGTAGGTGGTTGCGAAGGCGTCATTCGCGTACCGGCCTGTTTGGAGTAGTTGTGCGTGTCACGGACTCAGGTGTGTTATTTTGTTCGTCTTGTTGGTTTTTGCTTCTTTGATAGTTTTATGTGTTCAATTCACTCTGTTGATTGAGTCGGGCTCAAGTTCATGACTTGACACATTAACAATCTTCATTTGGGTACAAAAAGCAAGGGTACCGACCTTTTTTCAGGGGTCGAATATAGGCAATTTTGCAGTTATTCCATGTTACGCAGTGTCGTTGTGTGAGAAATAAATGATTATTAGTGTGAGTGTCCATTATTGGGAGTATTTTCGTCGTGTTATAACAAAACCGGTTGTGTACCTGCCTAACTTTTTGATGCAATACGATTATATTGATAACGACACACGTTTATTTTATGTAGTATAAAAACTATAGTTTAGCACCAGCCTCATTGTAAATACTAATAGACGCGTCATGATTTCACAAATTTTAATTGATTACAAAAATAATTAAACTATTTATTTTTGACGAGTAAGAAAAACTAAATATTTATAGAAAACAAGTTAAATCATATGAGATCCACATCGATTATTTTGAAGTTATAAAACTATAAAAAAACTAATTTTAATTATAAGAATTCAATTTACAAAATTACTTTATTTACACACTAAAATATTTAAGTTTTATAAGCCATAATGGGAAGTCCTTTGTCATTCACTTCTCCATTTTCAGTAGCAAGCCTAGTTTCTTCTTTCCCCACTAACTCTATCGAATCCCATGCAGTTTTTTCAGTTTGCTTAGCAATTTAATCATGATATATTTGATACGTTTTATTACTCATACAAGACATATTTAGTACAACAGAAAACTGTTCTAAATTTGTAAACCCCTGGCCAGTATTCAAAGTAGCAGTAACAACTGCAGTATTTATACTAAAAGAATCATTTAATTTGAGATCCTCTGAATAAATAATTTCTTTTTTTTTTTGCAAAAATTACATTCAAAGTGAAATCCTGAAAAAAAACCCTTTGAACTTCAGTTTTAAATACAAGATTTGAAAAATTACAGGCAAATAACTCGTGTTTAATTGATTTCAAACTATTAAAAAAATATTCAATATTTATTATTCTACGACTTTATTAATATTAATTATACCTAAATTAGTTAAATATGTGCATTAATTTCATTGTAAAATAATACTATAAAAAATAAACTAACTCTTTTTGAATTATTGGTTGATTAACTTCTGAAGAAATTTTTTTACAAGTATCAAGAGTTTGTGCATTGGGTGTCAATGGTAAAAAATCATAAAAACTATCATCTCCAATTTTTCTAAAGCAAAAAAATGTTTGTTTCTAATAAATTATATTTTAACCTTGTCTTTCTTTAAAAAATTTTCTTCGTGAAAAAATTACTCACTCATTTATTAAATTCTCCTCGTTACTTGTTTGAAGTATGTCAAGTAAAATGGTAGTTTGAGAATTGGAAATATTCTACCAAAATAATATATATTGTATTTATTTTTTAATTTTCATGTGTAGCTGCAGTGTGACACGGCCCGCGTCGCTTCGTTATACACGATGCACCGCGACTCGTGCCACCTTTATCAGCCGTCGCCCTACTATGAGTATTTGACTGACCAACACCGCGTGTTATGCGCTACGGTGCAAAGTCCAGCAAATGCCGCACGGCCGACGACGACCCGCCGCAAATGGTGCGAGAGTCTTCCTCCCGTTGTGAAAGCGACAACGTCGACAGCCGAACCGCACCCGCGCACCGTCGCCTACAACGCTGCTAACCATTTTGCCGTCCAAGGATTACGCCGAACATCGCGTCGTCGACGCCAGCGAAAGTGCCGCGATATTATGCGAAGATTATTATTACTGTGTTTATCTTTTCGGTTTGTTTTATTTTTGTTAACATAATCTGTTGTCGCTCATTTAATAAACGGCCCACGGGTCTCTACCCTCAAAACCAGTGTCGACCACATTTTTGCGACGNTAAAAAAATGATTTACTTTTTTTATTGCATGTAGTTTAAAATTCATTTTATAATTAATGTAAAAGATTTATATATTTGATGATCAAGCAATTTATGTATGTATACATTTCAAATGTGTTGAAATAAAAAGCTCATAACATCAGTTACTTAGTGTTAGATCTAGTTTGATAACATAGTGTGCGGCTGAGAAAAACACGTTATTGTGTCAGATTTAAAGAGAAATTATGATGCTGAATACATGAACAAGATATATTTTTTGATCTTTTGGCGTATCGTTGAACAATAACAGACCAGTAAAAAACACATCATAGTAAAACTAATACCTTCTCAGTTTTCTATCGAAACTAAGAAAGTGTATGAAAATTATTTTTATATATACGTACCTCACCAAATTTTTTTTTTTTTACGCCACTTATATAATGTTAATATATTACCTCTATTTTTTTTTTTTTTTTATGATAGCGATATTTTTTTATGACCCCATTTTTTTAGCGACACTTGTATAGGAATACAACAACAAAATTTGTTTCTTACTATGTAATGATAGCTTTGCAAATAATATAAAAGCAAATAATCTAATATCATATATACAGGTATAATATCAAGTATGCATTTGTAACTATTTTTAGGCAGTCGGTATTGTCCAATGCAACTCGATGGGCAATAAAATAACTGCTGAGGATAACGCACATACGCGCACGAACATGTCGCATAGAACAGCTACTGTTTGAAATCCATTAGTTTGAGCGTACAAAACAACCCGTTTTTGTTCCATCAGTACGACGAAACTACTGATGCGATAAGAATTCTGAAAACAAATTTGAATTTAGTATCATGTCACTTAGGTATCGGTCAGGCCACTTTTTTGAAATTGTGATTCCTACAACGTAAAAATTTATTTTGAAAATTTTAAAATTATTCGAAAATGTAAACTGTAATAAAGGGTTAAAAACATGAAAATTTCAAAAATATGGCCTGGCCGATACCTAAGTGACATGATGCTGAATTCAGATATGTTTTCAGAATTCTTATCGCATCAGTAGTTCCGTCGTACTGATGGAACAAAAACGGGTTGGTTTTGACTAAAAAGCGGTCGGTTCCCAGATGCCTTAAATAAAAATTCTATAAAATTTTCAAATGTTAATTTAAATTCTGATTTCATCTTTATTTTTATAACTTATTTGATTTTAACTAAACAATGTTGTGCTTTATGAATAATAATAGGAATGATAAAATGTTAAAATTGTTTATAAACAGGTAATAAATTAATGTTCACTAAAAGATAATCTTATTATATTTGATCATTTTCGGATTTTTAAATTATTTTTTAGAATTTTATTTACAAAGCGCGTATCTAAAGACAAGGTTTAAATAAAGTTATATTTTATTCAAACTGCTACTTGAATTCTCTAAGATACCTTTGTATATAATAGGTATCTTTTAAAATTTATTTTATTAAATTATTCATATATTTTTTGGTTTTTTTAATTATAGTATATATTTTTTGATTTATCAATTATTAAATACTAGAAGACTATGGTCAAGAAATATTTATTGATAAAAATTATCATTTTAAAATTCAGATAACTTCCAAAGAACTGATTCAAACGATGTTATTGGCCAGTTATTTTCTTAATGAAATAATTTTATTTTTTATAAGTTATGGTATATACATACATATATATATATATATGTATGTATATATATATATGTATGTATATACCATTTAAAATTAAGTTGATACTCTTATAATGCATAAGGGATGAATTTAAAAAGTATTCAATATTTGATAAATTGAAAAATAAATGTAACAAAACAGTAAAAAAAATATTTTCAAAATTATTTTCATTTTGTAAGTAATTGAGTGGGTTATGATATGTACGGATCACTCTGATATGTATTAATAAATGATGCAAGTTAATATTTGTAAGTCGTCTACTATCTTATTTTAGTATTTATTATAATCAGCAAATTCAACTGAAGTTATTATATTATACCTAGAAATCTCATTGATAAGTCATGTAATTGTTTATATTTTATTTTGCAGCTAATTGGGAACATTAATGTGAACATCAAATCAACTACAACGTATTTAAAAATAAAAATAAATTGTAATAATTAAATTATTTAATGGATAATTAAAAATAAAAATATTTATTATTAATTACATATTAACACATACATATTTTTTATGCGCTGTTGTTGTATAATTTATTATTTCATATTTAAGTTGTTCTTACTATACTGAACTTTCTGTTCAGTAAATTTCTTTTAGAATATGTATGGTTAGTGATTTAAATGTAAAATATTTCATAAAATTGTGAAGTATTAATTTTGTTTTGCAGCATTAAATTATGTTTTATAAATGTCAACTTTAGGAGAGGATGAAACATGTTGATATCCTTAAGATTTAACTAAATTTCTTATAGAAAGTATTCACCATAAAACCTGTAATTTCGTAAAAATACTACTTGATATATTAAGAATAATTGGTAAAAACTCATTGATTAATATTAATTATTTTATATAACGGATATTTATTGTTCTTGTTGTTTGTAACAATTGACCCGATTCCTTACTATAATTTTACATCGTGTATTTTTTTTAGTAAAAAGTTGTAAAATAATTACGCCCCAAAGTTGTTTGTTCAGCTGTTACGGATATCAAATAATATGGAACACGTGTTACATTTTTATGTATAGTTTATGTCAGTAGACAATTGATAGTTCAATTTAAATTACACATGAGATATTTTAATAATAACTTCAGTAAAATATTTCCATTTATTTTGTTTTACAAATTTTTAAATCATTATTTATAAAATTAATACTATTTATTAATATAGTATACATTTGAGTTAATTTTAATAAAAATGTTTAATTAGGTCGCCTTTAAATTGGAATATATTCAAAAACTTTTATTACTTGTAATGAAATACAAAAATAAAGAGTACATTGAAAACATTTGTTAATTTTTGTATTTTTAAAAGATTTATTTCCTTATTTAAGTTGAAGTTCATTATTTTTTTTTTTTTTCTATTCAAATATTTGATTAAAAGTAAAATAGCAAGTATATAGACTTAAAATATAATATGGTTACTCCTGTGTATCAGGGTCAATAGTCCATAAATTTTATAATTTATATTAATTTAATTTAATAATTTTTATAAAAACTAAATGTCTTATAAAATAATGTCAGTAAGTATAGAAATTTAATAAAATAGACATGATTTATTTTTTCATAACAATATCATCAAAATATTAAACATTTTTATTTACTTTTTACATTAAACTTTTGTTTGCTACAATGTAGTAATGTCCCGAATCGTTATATGGAACTATTTTACATTTGACGATTAGTCTAACAGACTTGTTGGATGCAAAACATTAAATGAAAAAATGTCTCATCATCACAACTAAGTATAATCTTTTTGAGGGTGTTAAAATTAAATTTTTTCTATTCTATACCTAAAAGTATACACTTTTGGAGAATAATCTATCTAGGCTTTTGAGTTAGGCCAAAGGTATATTATCAACTCAACTGTTAATAGATAAAAAATCAAGAATTATAATATCACTTATTATATATCAATTCAATTATAATTTCTCGTTATAATCTTTGCGCCTATTCATACTTTTACGTATATTTAAATATAAATAAAACATAATTAACATTTAAAAATGATTGAATTGAAATTTTATTTGAGAGTGTCAAAATTAATTAAAAAATAATAATTGTTTTAGCATCGATGCAAAGCTGAGAAGATATTGAATTTACCATGATGTGTTTATTTTTTTTGTGTGTGTCTGTCACTACTTTTTCTCAGCGATACGCCAAAAGATCACATATCGTATCTAGTTGAAGACATTACCCTCAAAAATTAATTTTTAGAAAAAAACATTTTTCCCTCGTTCCCCGTAAATATTACGATTTTTTAAATTGGTGAATTTCGACATTTTTTTCTAAAATTTGCCATAACTTATTGAAATATTAACGAAACATAATAATTTTTTTTTTTTTGAAACCTCAAGTATTTTCCTTTCATTTGATATCATTTTTTGAAAATTTGTCACTTAACCTGTTCACAGGGGGGATTAAATATAGCAACTTTTTTTACAAAAGTCTACTTTTTCAATTTAACTTTTGAAAATTTTCCGGAAATACTGCGTCCTTTAAACATATGTTAAATTAAAGGTTACGTTACAATAAATTTAAAAATAAAAATTGTCCCGACGACTTATATTCTACGTGCCAATGGCACTCGAAGTTGAACAAAAAATAGGAGTTCATTTTTCTTTTGGGATAATGCACCAATAAGAAATTTAAACACTATCTACAGATTTGCATCGGTGCGTTTCTTATGATAGTGATTTTAATTACTGTCAGACATCATCTTTACTTGTCCCAACTATGCCACGTCCACACTCTGCCGCGACCCCACTGTGCTACCGTTTTTTGTTTACATGCTAACTTTTTGTTTATATTCGGAGTAGATGACTGTGATTTTAGCTAGCATATAACAAGCAATTATTACCATTATTGTAAAATTTATACTATTCATTTACTACTTTTATAGTTTATGTAAATTTTTTATAAGTTAGTTATCATTACTTATTATATTGTTACCTGACAATAAAGTCATTTCGAAATTGGTAGCTACCAATTAACTTTTAATACTCAATAATTATAAATTTAAGTGTTATTTTAAATTAATAATTTTTTAAATTTTGAATTATATTTTTTTTATGTTAATTTAAAGTTGTCTCTAATACTCAATATTATTATATTTAAAACCTATAAATCTATATATTTTATTTTAGATCGATATGCTTCTTCCATATTTTTTTGCAATGGTTTTATTGTTAACTTTTATGAACGGTAATGTTAATCGTATTAATAAATAACTCATACAATATACAAACTTAGTACAATTTTAGCGGCGTTGTTATCCGTGTAGTTTGTATTCGTTAATTTTAATAAAATAACTTTGTAACGTTCATAACAAAAAATTAACATTTCGATAGTATCATTCAAAATCAAAATATTATGAATTCAAATGTATACTGGTTTCAAATATGCCTCTCCATAACTATGATTGTACTGGATATTTATAAGTCAATCAATTTTTTTTTGATTCGTGTCTTAATTTCAATTAAACTAGCAAAAATTTAGCTTTGTAATTTTAATTTTTAGACGTTGAGATGTTTTAGATGTTGTAGATTTTAAGTTTTAGATGTAACATGCGAATGTTGATAATCCGGCACTACTGTGGTCCCATACACTGCTGGATTATCGAGATTCGTCCATACTTTTAAGCATATTACGTTTATCATTAGAATGCCACTTTATTTATGTTATTATAATCCTTCATTACTTTATAGTTGCATGTGTCAAAAGAAATGCAGTAAACCTTGAATCAAGTGAGTATCATACAATTTCATGGTAAATATTGAAAGTTAAATATAAAATTAATTTTATATATTGTCTTCTTAGGTGAACAACGGAAGAGAACTACTGGGTTCAGTAAGTTTTTGTTTGAGTAAAATTAAACTTATAATTAATTTCATTCAAAATTATATTAAGTACTATAAAGTTGTTTTTTGTACGATTGTAACATCATTAGCAATAGATAAAGTTTAATACATCGTGAAAATTATTTTTTAAATTATCCTCAATACTTTAAAATAGATTGATATCTAAAAATTTAATTTTTTTTTTGGTTATCAACCAAAAACAGAAGTTAAAACAAAGAAGTTTAGTTGGTGAATTTTGTTGAAAAACATAAGTGATGGCAAATTCTACAATAGGAGTAGTCATAATAGGACTTAATTTAGACAAAACGTTTATTAGATAACTTAATAATAATATAGACACAATGCATTTATGAAACAGAGTGGTGTATAGTAGTAGAGATCCGCATAACTCCTATGATCGAACTACACACGTAATATATACATATTTTCGTAAATTTAAAATAATTCTAAATCTGAGAGTTTTTTTTATCACACAAGGTAAGCGCATTTCAGAGCTCGTTGTTCTAACAAATGAACAATGTCTATAATAAAATTATTATATGGGCGCTAAGACATCAATCACTATTGTTTTTATATTTTTTGTTTCTTTTTTATTTATTACTAAACGGGCTACGTTAGTTTCAAGGGTAGCTATTCTAGAGAACCTGGTGGCGATCGCAATTTTTCCATCCGCCTGTCCACGTCTGTTAATAATGTAATTTTTAATAAGAAAGATTATAATAATAACTTTAAAATCATATGTCGGCTCAGGCCATAGCTCCGCCTGTGTGACGGGTGCAATGTTGAACGTTTCGCTGTACATAACACTGTAATGGTCATAGGCGTACGTCATTATTTTACCATTTGAGGTTGCTCAGTCGACTTCTTTACTGCTCCACGACCTTGTCAGTTTTTCGATGAACATCAAAAGAATGATACGATACTACACTGATGTGTTTGATGATTTCATTTTCCCACAAGAATGGTAAGCAGCAGTCGTACATTTCGTATTTTTCAGAGTGGGGATTTAGTTGTCAAAAATCGCAAAGTTTGGCAACTTTCTCTTGGGATTGCATTTCTGGAAAAAGTGAACAAGTATTCAAAGTCGATTGATGACATGCGTATGAATTTCCCTGAGATTTATTGTTCTCGAAGTATGTTCAAGAAGTGCGAATCATTTTACAAATCTCTAGATTAGTACAATATCAATTGCCAACATATTCTACTTCTTTTAATTATAAAGTAACGTATACATTGCTAGTTATTCGACATTTGCTGACAAACTGATCGATGACCAGTACCTCATTCGAGTGAGAATGTATATTAGAACAAATACTCAAGCAGTGTAACACGAATTCGTTCGCGGATACAATACATTTCAAAATCACACTAATACGCTTAATTATGTACCAATCTTAAGATATAATGATAAGTAATAACGTGTGGCACACCTCCATTAAACATTTCACAGATTTTTATGGGTGATAATTAGTAAAAAAAAACCAACCGTTGAATCTTTAGTGTACAGCGTTTTAAAATCACAACCTTATAGTTTCTGTATGAATTCAATTTGCGTTTGAACACATCTCAATAATGACAAAATCAGCAATAATGCGCCGTGTTTGAGATACATCTATTCTGAATAGCACAATTATTTTAACACGGTAAATCTGATCTTTTAAGCTGCGTTAAGATGATAATTTTTTATTCTGGTGTACAACGCCTGCTTTTTGTTGAATGTATTTTGCGCAAATACAGACTCTAAAAAAAAAAAAAAAAAAAATGCCATCTGTGAAAGGGTGTGAAGATTTAATTAAATTTGAAAACATAAAATTTACACTAAATATATAAAAGAATAACTAGTTACTTCAACAAAATGCGTGTTTCTTCGAAGTGTTCTGATGTATATTATTTTTAAAGAATTAAATAAAAATCTCATCGTTGACTTTTCCTATTTAATTCAATTACAGAAATTCAGGGACTTTGATTTTTAAATCTATTTGCTAGTAATCGTTTAAAGTAAATATAGATTAATTAAAAATATGGCATCACTATATTTGTTTGATTGTAAAATTTTACATGTATTAATAATTTACTAAAAAATAGCATTTATAAACAAATTTGAAATTTTTCAACTTACAATTTTGTTACAGTAGATCTAAAGTTTTTTTGGTTCAGATAAGGCAAAAAAACATTCATAGATTTAATAAAATCAAAAATAATAGTCATTCAAAAATATTTAAATGTTTATAAGTAATTTTTTAATATTGCAGATGATGGCACAGTCTGTTCAGTTTGTATGAATGATATATCAAGTGTTACATTTGTTCCGTGTAGACATAGTTTTTGCAATAAATGTTCTCATATATTGCATGGAGATGATAAACCGTGTCCTTTGTGTAGACAAAAAACTATAAAATATGATGGATTAAGTAAGTTTTTTGAAATAAAAAAAATTAGTTATAAAATTGATTATCTGAACTAAATATTCTACAAAATCAAAAAAACTTAATTAAAATATATTTGTATATTTCTAGGTAAAACTACTGGATTGAGTGAGTTTTTAGTAGAAAATATTAATTAAATTTAAGATATTTGTTGTATTGATTTAATTTTACGTGTTATATATGTAAACAATTATTTTTTTTAGACGATGAAGAAGATTGTCCATATTGCCTGACCGAAAAAACAAGTGTGACAGCAATGCCTTGTACTCACAGTTTTTGTCAAACTTGTACTAATAAGTTTAAAAGAATAAATAAACACGCTCCATGTCCTGCAAAAGATTGCAAAAGAATAATTGAATATTTTGAAGGTTTTGGTAAGTTATAATAATATGGTTATGATTTAATTATTATTCATTGCGTTATCGAATCTAAAGTATTTATTTTAATAATATTAAATACTAATTTTATATTATACATATATGCATTAATTAAAAATATTTTTATATTTATATAACATCAATTGAGGAAAAAAAAATTAAAACATCTTAGTAAGGTAAAAATAGGCAAGCTGCCCGCTCCCCCACTTCATTCCTTTCATCAACCGAATGATTAGTAGTGGAGGGTTGTTGCTAAATGAAGCGCCAAAATGAATTTATGATAAAAATTTTTATGAGAACTATAGCTTTCATTTTCTCAGAAATTTATCATCCTTTACTAAACGCTTACGTAAGCATATTTTTAATATTAAAGGTATCATCATACTATAACGCTATTTGTCGACTGCATTTTATAAGAAAAATATCACCCTAAAACATTTTCATTTACTACTATGATGTTAATGTAAACTTCCAAAAGCTGTATGAATATACCAAATGTATATATACACATATATATATATATATGTGTATTACGAATGCAATACATGTATAGGGATTGGGAACTCTGTAGAGATTCAATACATTATTCTTTAGTTATTAAGATTTTTTTTTTAGAGGGTGACGACAAGCAAAATTTTATTTATTTTATTATTTTATAATACATTGATTTTCAGATCCAGTATATATAAATCCGAAAGAAGATTTACGAAGAAATCCACAAAGTAAGTCAAAAATTTATTTACTGATTTTCAGGATATTATACTACATACTAATATGTAGAAAAATATTATCTATGGCTTTTCATTAAATTTTTGTGTTAACTATTTAATCAAATCATCAATTTGATATGTATAAATATGTGAAAATGTTGTAATAATTGAAATAAAGAGATTTTTGAGTATTATACGTGTTGTATTAAAAGGATTCTTATCAGGGTTCGTTGAGTCTGGTGGTTTAGAACAATAAAGATAAGTAGATATATAAAGACATCATTAATAGTCCTCCTTATTGAACTGTAAAGATAAATTAGTTTAAAATATCCTTTAACAGTTTACTGAGGTGTGTTTGGAATGGCGGTAGCCTTCTCTATGATACCTAGTTGAAATTTTTAATACTATTAATAATATTACAGGAATTGTAGTAGAAATATTAAATAATAACTCGGGAAATAGCGAATGTGAGTTTATTTTATGATAACTTTAATATTAATTAAAAAAAAAAAACAATTGAGATGTTGAAAAACTAGATTAATATTTACTCTGTTTTATACAGCGTGAGTAACTATGTAAACATTTTTATGTAAAAAATCTAACAACTTTTAATCCCATAATCATTTCACTGTAATCATTAAAAAAAACATTTCGAAATAGCATTTTTGTTAGCTTTTTTTTTACAAACATTTTTAATGGGTCGACAATAACTTAAAAACAAGTACATATTGAAGTATACGTATTTTAATATACAGAGTGGGTATTTAGTGCAGATAGAGTGCACATACCCCCCCCCAGTACGAATTGACCTACCATCACTAAAAAAAACTAATAGTGAGATGATTATTGAATCAAAAGTTATTCGATTTGACATATCTTCGTAACTTATTCTGTATATATGACAAACAATTTACAGCAGACATAATGGAACTCACAGGAGTATCTAGTACGCTACCATGTAAGTATATTATCACATATATTATAAATAATTGATTTAATTTATCTCACACAAATTGGATAAAGGTTTATTAAGAAATGGCCAATAGTATAATCTGCGAACTGAAAGTTTTGTTAACTTCTGTTTGAGTGTTTGAAAATCCGCTATAATAAATTATTCATTGAATAACCTAAGTATTTATAAAAATAAAATAACTCAGTTATAAGAAATTACTTTAAATAACTTTCTAACAAATTTAAATACACTGTTAGATATTATATTTATTATGTCTTGTGTCAGAAAGGGTGGGAACCCAATATAGCCAGCGCATCGGATTCGTAGACTAATACCAACGCATCGATTGAGCTAGGTAGGCCGCCTAAAACATTAAAAAACAGTCATGCAATAACCTTTATTCAAAGTAAAGCAGAACTTTTTTTGCAAATATTTTAATGCAATAGGAGAAATTTTGAAATAAAATATTCAATGTGATAAATTTTTTTAATTATTACACTATATTCAAACACAATTAAAACTACATTATTAGTTATTTTAAAAGAGCTCAGCAATCATCTACTAAAAATTTTGACAGGGGCATGTAGTGTATTCACTCGACTCCTGGCTAGTGATGTTATTACAGTTGGAACATTTCACTAAAATAAAAATAATTACATTAGATTTTTTTTTCGTTTGGAACGCGTAGCTGAAAATTTTCTTATGTTTGTTCAGGAAGAAACCTTAATTAGGTCACCTGACTATTATTTATGAAGTTTTATTGTGGTGGATAATAGTATAAAATATATATATTATTGGGTAAAATAGTTATTCGTTAACTTTAATGAATAATAAGTAAATTAATAGAATATGATTAGATAAAATAAACATTGTATTATTAAGTAATTTAAGTCAATTATTTTTACATTATCCAAGTAATCTTATTTTGTCGTAAAGAAAATTTTATATTTATATATTTTCTTTTTTTTTTTTGTAGTCATTTGTCAAATATGTTTAAGCGAATGCACAGTTAGTTCGTTTATACCTTGCAATCACAGCGCGTGTAATTCATGTGTTGAAGATATAAAACGCCTTGGTATGAAATGTCCTTTTTGTAGCCTCGAAATTGATAATATTATAAATTTAAGTATGTATACATAATAAATTAAAAAGAAAAACGATTTCAATATAAAAGATGTTTAATTTTTAAAGGTTTTGAATTTATTTTGTACAAGGGGCCTTACCTGGCCTAGTGGGTAGAAATGTGTGTTTCGGCGTATGGGGTCCTGGGTTCGTTCCACAGGGTGCCAACGAGATTTTTCTCATTGTTGGTGTGTCGTCTCCAGTGCAAGCCGGACATAATACCCGCCCCTTCCATCATTGGCTTAGCCAAGAACTATCTTTGACTCCCTAACATGTCTACCTCTCTGTAGCATGTTACTTTCGGGAAATAGAAGGATGTAAAACTAATCACTTTTTTATTTAAATTTGCATTGTAGAATTTTTGGAATCATGGAAGTAATATACTTCCTAAATTGTACCAATTCTTAATGTTCTATAATTAACAATTCATTTAAATTAGGGTTGTTAAAAAGCTTTAGTTAAAACATATTTAAATAGTTTAAAATGTTCCAATGTAAATTTGAAATTTTTAGTGTTTTAATCACTGCATGTTTAACTAAAATAACCCCGATTTAAATAAATGATTTTACCTTTAATTTCTATAAAAAAAAAAATACATAGAACAATAAGTTAAGTTTTAAAAATATTGAACTTTAATTATTAAAATTTACTTTAAATAAAAATTATTCTTAGAAAAAAAAATGCTATTACAAAAATTTACTTACCAATATTTATTTCAAATAACACACATTTTTATTTTGTCAATCAGAACTCTGTCAAAATTGTCTACAGTATCCATCCATGAATTTCTTTGAATCCTGTGATCACTATTTATGTCCATCCTGCATTGATTATGCAATAACGAATAATGCAGAAAAATGTCTAATTTGCCAAGAAGAATTCATGATCATAGAGTCAAGAAGTACGTATAAATAAACTTTTTTTATTTAGTATATACTTATATAACAAATTTATTAAATAAAAACAGAAATACCTTTTTAGTTTTTTTACAATAAAATGTTGCGTATACGCTATATTTTAAGAATATTTAAGAAAAAATAATTTTATAAATGTTTCGTTTAAGGAAAATTTAATGAGTTCTAAAATAGTTTTCCTAAAAATTTCTATTAGATAGTTTTGATTAAGAATATCGATATTTGGATAAGAAATATATATTGGGATAAAAATTCGATACCGATATCGACATTTATAAATCATAATATTAAAATTATCATAATTTGGGGAGATTATCTATTAATGTCTTGTAAAAAAATTTCCATATCTATACATAGTGATTTCATAAGGATAAGATACTTATTTTCTTGGATACTATTGAAAATTTTAAATTTTCATAAAGAAAAAATTGTTTGATTTTAAAAACTCTACTGTAGTATGTTATTGAATACTTTTTTTTTATCCCTTCAGAATTAAAAAAATATAAACTCTTATTTTTATTTTGATGATATGATAGATAAAAATTTTCAAACAATTTTTTTCTTATAATTGTTTCAATTTTATGAACCGTTCTTCTGTGGTTGTTTGTTCAAGTTTAGTGATTTTTGATCAATTTTCTGCTAACTTCAATGCAAAGCTGAAAATGATTCAGTTTCCGGACCGATTTTAATGATAAATACGCCAAGAAAACAAAATTTTAATTTAATTGAATTTACAGTGCCAAAAATAAAAAAAAAATGCTTATTAAATCTGTGAATTGATTATATTCTGTTATCTATGTTGCTTATTTGAGTATTTGTTCGGCGACACGCGTTCTTGGAGGTCATCGCATATTCGTTGGTTTTTTTCTTTCTGTTTATTTTAATAAAGTGTTATGTAGCGTCATTTTTATTTGTTATTAATATAGTAAGAGTCGTGTAGTTAGTATTTAACACGCTCAATTATAAAATTTTTTTAATATTATACTTCTGTAAAAAATGACGTTTTCAAAGAACTTTGTCTGCTTTTTAAAACAGTAATTCTAATGAAATTTATAACGGCAGTATTAAAGGATATAACCTCTCTTTTAATATTCTTTTTATTAATATCCAATGAAAAGTCTACGAGAAGGATGGGTTTAAAGAGACGCATGTAAAAAATAAATTTAAGCTTTATTTTTAAAAAAGTTTTGGAGTATCTGACAACTATTCATGTACAACAAATTAAAGTTCATAAAGTATGATAATTTTTTGTTAACTCTATAGTAGCCATTATTTCTTCATATCGCCATATAAACAAGTGTTTATTAACAATTGTTATTATCATATCTGTCAATTGCCATAGCAAAAAAAAACAACACATTCATAACTTATGGTCCCTTAAAAAAGGTTATTGTTGCCTTCGATTTTAACTAATATAATATCATTCTATTAGCTTAAAATTAATAAAAAGTGGTGTATAATTTTTTTTTATAAAAAAAATTTATAAATTAAATTTTTTTATATAAATATTTATTAATGCATTTTCTAGATGTTTAAAATGTAAGCAATTGATAGTTAGAACTTTAAAGTTCAAAAAGGCTCAAGCTTTTTTTCCAATTTAAATACAATAAACTTCATATTTTTGAATAACGTATCGTATTAAAAATAACATCAACTTCATCAAAAACAAAATAATATCTGTGTTAATTTATATTGTTGGCCATCACTATTATTTATAACATTTTAATATTTGTTTTGTATGTGATTTTCAGACTCTAATAATCTATAATGAAGTATAGAAAAAATTTTATTAATCTTGTAAAAGAAATATATGTTCATTGAAATATATAAACTTACTTTACAATATTTCATTTAATTAAAAAAAAAACTTGTTTTTAATTTAAATTAATGTTGAATGTATTAATAAAAAAAAATTATCTATACAGAATGATCGATTTATGATATACCACTAAATTACTCACTAAATATATACAGAATTTGAAAAACAATTGTTTGGCTTTTCAGATACATAAATTTTTTGTTTTGTAAATTTACAATTTTTCATACACAATATAAAACTCGCATGGTAAATACAAGACCTTTTCAACTTCGCTTTAAAGCAATAAAGGTCAATAAATATTTTTTAATCAATATAGCGTTTCGTTTCTTAACTCACTTTTGAAACCCAATTAACTAAAAATAAAAATAAAACTTTTATTACTTTAAAATTGATTTTAATCCATTTTAAATCGTTATTAACCGAAACTGAAAGAACAATAAATTAAAAATCCGAAATCCTACTATGAAAGATTACAAATAACATAAAAAGAAATCGAATTAATTGGCCATAACGGATAAAATTTGTAACTTTTCATGGCGCACTGAAAAACACAAATTGAGGGTCGAATTAAAAAAGTAGAATTAAAAAAAAAACCCCCAGCACAGGGGGGTCGCGGCACAGTGGTGACGTGGCATAGTTGGATCAAGTATAATGATATCTGACAGTGATTAAAATCACTATCAAAAAAAAAAACGCTTCGATGCAAATCTTTAGATAGTGTTTAATTTTAAAAAATTGTTGGATTATTCCAAAAGCTTCATAAACTGCTAGTTCCTTATTAATATCCTGATTAAGATAAAGTATGTCGAATGAAAAAAGGAATATTAAAAATAGTATTTCCCATAAAAAAATATATTGATCAATACACTTTTCAATAAGTTATAGCATTATAAAGTTAAAAATGTAAAAAATAAAATTGAGAATTTTCACACAATAATAGCATTTGGTAGCCATTTTCACCGTGAAGACAAAATAAAGTCCGAAATTTTTTTTTTACATAATAAAGTAGATTACATTAGCTTTAATTTAATATATATATAAAAGTGTCAGACTTTCCGGAACACTTTCAAAATTTAAGTTGAAAAAGTCAATTTTTTGTGAAAAAGTTGTCATTTTGAATCCCCCCCTGTAGGCAGGTAAAAAGTCAGATTTATAAAAAAAATATACCAAATGATAGGTAAAGACATCATGCATCTACAAAAAAAAGAATTATATTGATCCATAAATCTTTCGAGAAGTTATAGCATTATAAAGTTAAAAATATAAAAAAGAATTTTTTTACAAAAATCGTATTTTTTTTATTAAGTTTAATGTCTGTTTTCACCATGAAGATAAAATAAAGTCCGAAATTTTTTTTACCATTATAAAGTATATTACATTAGCTTTAATTTAAAAATAATAAATAATAAGTTAATACAAGGCAAAAAAAACGAACGGTCAAAAGACCTTGTCTACAAATTAAAGGAACAAAGAGAAAAAAAAATCAAATATATTTAAAACATTGTTACACCTACACTTCTATAATTATAGAACACGATGAACTCCTTCGGGTACCACCGGCTATTAAGCACGGCGGGTATACGCCCCTTGTGAATGATTTTGAACGTTAGACTTAGTTTGCAAGACGTTGTGACCAGTGGCGTATTTTGGGGGGGTGTCCTCCATGTCTGGACACCCCCGACTTAAAAAAAATGCCTAATATATTGGTATTAACTTTTTTTATAATATACTATATTTATTTACTATAAAATAAATGGTATTTTAAATAAATAACAAAATTGAAGATAATTTGATAGGATTCGACGACACGTATTTATCTACATTTTATCAGAGATTTCTAGAAATGATTTGGATTTCATTGGGTCATTTAGATAACAAAAATACCCGTAACAAAAATATAATAACNCAAAAATACCCGTAGCAAAAATATAATAACAACGGAAATATTCTGAACTTGTAGTTCATTTTTAAATTTATTTTATAGTTTATCAGTTTAGAGAATTATAAACAAATAAGTTTAGTTACCCCTATTTAATATACCGCATTCTTAAAAAATACAGAAAAGATTTTTTTATAATTAAAATAGTATTTAAAAAATAAACAAAAGTTATGAAATTCTTTATGAATCGTCATTTAGTAAAATTAAAATTAAGTTGTTAAGATAGTAGATACGCTTGTTAATTTAAAAATTTATTATTGGCTGAATTTTTAACTTAATTGTATCCATAACTGTATATTATAATATTTGTATATTCACATAACAAGAACATTAAATTATTTCAGTTAAGATAAATTAATATTAAATTTGAAATAATGTTACAAAGAAAAATAAGATTAAAATAAAATAAAAAAAACAACAATTAAACATAGAAAAAGTAAAAAAATGTTTGGTGGTATACAAATAAAAATTTCAATTTATAGTGAATATTAAGAAAATTGATATAAAATACAAAAATAAAATTTCATTCATAAAAATATTAATTGAATAGCTCGCCAGCAATAATTTCATTTTTGTGTCTTAATCTTATAAAAGGCATAAAATTTGCATTTATTGGTGTTGTATCTCCTCGAGACATTTTTTCTGCCAGCTCAACAGTAAATGGCCCACAATCATGTCCATTGGTTTGGCGAGATGTCTCGCCTATTTGTAATGTCCATGTAGAAGCTTTTCCTTTTTTGTCCATCTCCCATTCAATTAAGAAATTTTTTAATACCATTGGATAGGGACCCTCATACGACTTAAGACTATCATATGATGTCACAGTCTTTTCAGGTATATTAACCACTGTCAATATCCAATGACTCTCATATACATTCATGGGCACAAAAAGTAATTTTATTGTGTGAATATCTTTTTTTATCCATCTTCTTACAGCTGGATAACCTCCTCGAAGATACGCTACAATAAAATCAGTGACAACTGCATAAACTTCACCTTCTGACCGTTTTACTATCATTTTAATGTACTCATTAATTGTGTCTGAAGTATACCATGATGTGGGCGATTTAAATGAAGGTGCATTATACTGATCAAGAGATTTTGTGTTCTGATCTTGCATTACTTCTGCAAGTGTAACCATATTTAAACATTTTTCATAAAATTAATAAAAGACTTTGTTGAACAGTTTACTATTATTTAGGTTTATTTAAGGTTTTGGAATATGAAAT